CCTATGAAGGCCTCAAGATGATCCTTTTTATAGCTGAATAATATTCCATTGTATAAAATAACACAAATTTTTCATCCACTTTGCAGTTGATGGGCATCTTGGTTGTTTCCAAGATTTAGCTATTACCAGTCATGCTGCTATGAACATGGGTACACATATATCACTGTGATATGACCTTTTCAGGTTTTTTTGGAAAATAGCTAGGAGGAGAATAGCTGGATTGAATGGAACTCCCAATCCTAGTCTTCTCCATACTGATTTCCATAATGGTTGCACAGTATGCACTCCCAACAACAGTGGAGCAGTGCTCCTTTTTCCCTGCAGCCTCGCTAACATTTGTTATCAGTTGGTTTCTTGGTAGCAGCCATTCTTTCCGGAGTTAGACGAAATTTCAATGCTGTTTTAATTTGCTTTTCTCGAATGACCAGTGATGGTGAATATTTCTTCATGAATTTATTTGACATTTGTATATCTTCATCTAAGAAATGTGTGTTCATCTCAGATGCCCATTTTTGGAGAGAGTCTTTGAATTTGAGGCCTTGATATTTTTCAATTCTTTATATGCTCTGTATATAAGTCCTTTGTCTGAGGGGTTGCTGGCTAAAATTCTTTCCCATTCTGTGGGTTTTCTTTTTACTCTGTTGGTGATTTCAAGTGCAGAAACTTTTCAATAATATGAGATCCCAGTTGTTGATTCTTTGAAGTGTTTCCCATGTGGTTTGCATTGTGTTCATGAATTCTCTGCCTACCCCTACATGTCTAAGACTTCTGCCTACCGTGTATTCCAGGAGATTTAGTATTTCTGTTTTAATATTCAGGTCATTGATCCATTTAGACTTTAGTTTTGTGCATGGTGGTAGGCATGGATCTAGTTTCAGTCTTCGGCATGTGGAGAGCCAATTTTCCCATCAGCATTTATTAAAGACGTTATCCTTCCAGTGAACATGTTTAGCACCTTTGTCAAATATCAGGCGGCTGAGTGTCTATGTAGTTGTGTCTGCATCTTCTAATCTGTTTGTTGATCCTGAAGTCTATTTATTTGCCAATACCATTCAGTTCTATTATTTCTTTGCTGACTTTTTGTCTAATTGATCTATCTCTTTGTGACAATAGGCTGTTAAGGTCCCCTGTTATAATTGTGTTCTTGTGTATTTGGTTTTTTATATCTGTTAGTCTCTGTCTTATATAACTTCGCTTAGTTTGATTTTTTCTGGTACTGGGGATCAAACTCCTGATCTCACACTTGCTAGGCAGGCTCTTATGCCACCTAGCTAAATCCTCAGCCCCCTTTAGTTTGATTTTTGAGATTCATGTACATTTTAAACTTACTCAGTTGAATAGGAACAAACAGTCTGTTTTGTTAGCAGAAAATATCTACTGGTTATATAATGTCAATAGATTAACTCATACATCACTCATGTAGATTAAGACTTCTTTTAACAATTTCTCCCTTTTCACAATGACCTATAATGAACATAGTAGCCTGCACCATGCCTAGGAAGTATACCTGAATGTGTGAGATTTGGGGAAGGGTTGAGAAGGACAGAGAAAAAGAAAGAGGATAAATTAGAAAGAAGAAAAGGAGAAAAAAGAAATCATAATACACAAAGAGGTAGAATGACTACTGTTTGTATAATTTTTGTATCTTTAGTAGAAGCCTGGTATAGTGGAGTTTTTAGTGTATTTGTAGATGCAGAAAGCACAGAGGGAGGGACATGTAACTAGAGACTGAGTTAAACTTTGAGAAGTTCAGAACCTGGTAACTGGCTGTTACATAATAGGCTGTTTAGGTCCTTTGTATACAGGTTTCTTGTGGGTTACATTGGTATGACAAAAAATATATTTAGGTTAAAGAATTAGTTAATTTTCTTCTCCTTTCACATATACTGAGACCTCCCATGTATATGGTTATTATATACAATAAATAATATATATATATACATATACATATATATATTAGATGAATGAGGTAAAAGAAAGGGAGAAATAAAGGAAAAAAGAAACAGTGAAAAAACAATGAGAGAAAAAATGATTGCAAATATACACAGTTGCAAATCACAAAATTAAAGCATCCTCACAGTTTTACCTATATTGAAGTCTGAATTCAATGAATAAACTCTTCTCCCCACATTTGCAAGGTGAGGAGCTTTGACCCATAAGTAGGGTCTGGATCTGGCTGATTCCCACACTTCTTTCCTCTTTAAAATGGTTGTAGGCGCTTCTTACAATCATCCATCTACAGCCAGCTTCTGCTGGTTTCTGGGACGGTTTCCCCTCTTATGATCTGTTCAATTGCCTGCCTCAGAGTGTAGATGCTTTTTTTTTTTTTTTCCTGATTATTTTAGAAGCAGTAAAACCATGTAGCTATTAGTAAAGAAGATACATGAGAAGCTATAAACAATGCATCTTGCTTTTGTATTGGTAGAGAGGATAAGCTTTCTCAAAAAAAGAAAAATTCTTTTTCTGTTACAAATCTTTCCAGGTTACTGCACTTTCATTGTCTTTGTCCAAAATTTCAGTGAGAGATATCTCAGTTATTTAGCTATGAAAAACGTACATTTCACTCACACTTCTACTTTCTATTTTATAATTGTGTGAGTTCAGAGACAATGGTCAAGGTAGGCAAATCCATCCTTAGATTAAGTACCTATTCCAGTGTTATAGTTTGAGTCTGGATGTCTTCCAAAGCCTCATGCGGTCACTGGGACAGGCTTCTAGAATTTGTGGTTAATCCATGGTCCTGAAATTAAGGGTGTGAGTGCTACACCCACCCTAGGCCTATATGCAATATAGGGGACTCGTCTCTTTTCGCTCTTGTTGCTTTTGATGTCCCTACTGCCATGTCACCTTGCCTTGGAGCCAATGGACTGAAACTCCACATACTATGAGCTTAATAAACCTTTACTTTGGATCTGGTATTTTGACCCAGCAGTGAGAGAAAAGTAACCAAGATATCCAGTAAGGATGAAACTCTGTCCTTTATATGATGAAAGTGTCCAATATAATAAAAGTGCCACCAGGTCACAGACTGATATCCCTGGACAATGGGGCCATACTGGGAACTCACAATTGATATCTGTTGCTGGAAGATGAGACAGTCAGCAGTAGCTGTACGAGGTCACCCTTAAGTGGTTGCTATGTTATTGAGCTGGTTTACAACCTACCCACATTTTCATCTATAGACTTACAAAATGACTCACCCACCATGATGGCATTTCACACAGCACTGCTTCTAACTGAGGGACATACTTCGTAGTCAAAGAGGTGCAGTAATAGGCTCATGCTTCTGTAGTTTACTGCTCTGATTATGTTCCTTACTTTAGAGTAACAAATGGATTGGTATACAGTTGCAATGGTGTTTTCAGGGTGACAGTGAGGTAACAAGACATTGCAGTACTAGGGAAAGGAACTCCAAAGGATCGTATGGTACTCTTTCTCCTATAGCCAGGATTCATAATTTAAGGAATCAAGAGGTGGAAGTGGAATGGCATCATTTACCAGTACTCCTAGTGATAAACTAGCAAAAATTTTGATCCCTGTTTTTCTAGCCTTATGTTCATGGGGCATAGAACTTTTAATTCCAAAAGCAGCAATGATTCTACAAGGGAGCACAACAGTGATTCCATTGAACTGGAATCAGAGACTTTACTGTGCTTATTTTGAGCTCATCAGGCCTGGATCAACAAAATTTTAAAAGGGGATTGTATTGTTGGGAGGGGTGATTTATTGAGTCTATGAAGAAGAAATTGAACTAATCCTGTACAATGTACATAAGGGAAGAGTATACTTGGAGTATTTGTGATCCCTTAGTGTGTCTGGCATTATCAGGTCCAGTCCTTCAGGTCAATGGGTATTTTAGCTACTTCTTCATCATTGAACCACAAAACCTAATACTCACAAATTATCAACAACTTCAAAGAAGGAATGGTATAGTAGAAGGGAATGGTAGAGACAAAAATGCTCAAATCATGGCTACCAGAAGCAGAAAGAGGGAGAAGAGGGGAGGTGGAAGGGTGATGTATCCTTCATGGTGACTCTTCCAGTGACACATTACCAACCAGGCTCCATTATCGGATAGAGGGCAGGCATAGCACTCCTATGTTTCACCACCATCTGAAAGCCCCACCATTGAACACATGAGACTTCTGGGGGTCACTGCAGATATGAGCCATAGTAATAGGAAACTATTACACTCAATGTAGTGTGGATAGACAAAATACCCCAAATTTTCATGAAGAAAGGTCTTATTCTTCCCCTTTTAGATCAAGAACTAAGACACATTGAGTTGTTTTCTGAACACTAAATAATACAGTATGAGTAGTAGAAGTTATAAATACCAATGACAACCAGCCAGTTATAGATATAATGATTATAATCATGAGTATTTCCTTCCTATTTTGTTAATATATCTATTTATATTAACACATCTATTATGTGGTCGTCTCTGTTTTCTTTGCTTGCAGCATTATGTTCATTGGTTCTTTAGTGCTGTTAAGTCTGCATGATAATACTTAAGTTAATGAATGTCAGGAAAGGAATAATAATCACCCAGAGAAAAACTATGTCTTCTGTTCTTGAAGAGAGTTAGTGTGTTTTCATTTGTATACATGAGAGTTGTACCATATTAGGTGAAGCTGTCTGCACTCATGTTTGTGTGGGGAAGACAGCCATGGTCCTGTTTGTTGCCCAATGGAGAGTTTGTGAACGAAAGCAAAATTTTGCCAAATGTGAATCAAATTGTCCATGAACAGAAGCATTGGTGGACCTAGGTATTACTATATGTGAAAGGAAATTAGAGACATGAGCCATTTTTTAGGTTGTGACTCAAAAATACTTTGGTTTGTATTCTAATTTTCTATTAATCACTTTATTTGTAGGTTGGTGCTTGCTTTCTGTGTATAATTTCATTAGCCTGCATTAAGTATATTCAATTAATACTCTAAAATAGTAGAATCTTGTTTCACATAAAACAGTAAGTCAGTATGTTTTCATGCTTACAGTGGGATCATGAGACCTGGCCTCAATGCCATTCTGGGACCAGCAGGTTCAGGCAAATCTTCGTGAGTATAACAGAAAATATGGGTCAGCCTTGTTTATACAGTTTAAGTTCTCTTAAAAATCACTGTTTCACTTTTACTTTGACAAAGATTGGTTCAGTATTTGCTATGCTTGTCTAGCCCTAGGTATTATATATAATGTTCCATTAGACAAGCTTGTGAAGGACTGCAAAGTCCTATTGGTCATGTTTACTACTAGGATACTATAAAGTGATGGGTTTTCAGCAGCCAATATTATGAACCGATGGAGTGTGAAATAAGTGGATAGTATTTGAAATGGGAAGATACAACAGAAGTCTTATGTAAGGTCAAGAGGCTTACATAAAAGAATACAGTGGCTGGATTGGAACTTCCAAGTTCCCACACGAGGAGGGTAATTGGTGGGAGATCTGTGCCAGATAAACCAATGATAATGTATTTGTATTTTTTTTGGGGGGGGTCTCATGTAGCACAAAATAAATGTACATATTTAGTCAATGTGGAATTTCTTGACTAGTTTTTCTGACTTAAACAGAAATGTGAGAGATGAGGCCTGTGTTTTAGGAATAGAAACCTCACAACATGTATTATCATTTTACAGGTTGTTGAGTGTCTTAGCTGCAAGAAAAAATCCAGAAAAATTCTCTGGAGATGTTTTGATAAATGGAGAACCTTATCCTGCTGATTTCAAATGTCATTCAGGTTATGTGACACAAGTAAGTACTGCTGGGTTTGCACGTTAGATTTTCTCACTTTTATGTGGGCAAGTGCCTTGGCATATATCTTCCAGCTGATTATAAAGCATGAATATAGAACTAAGTTTCTTTGCACCAGCTTTTAATAATTGTCCATTAGAGTTAGTGTGGTAGTAATTGAACATGCAGAGTAGATAAGGACTATGATTTTTGTAGGACAGTGGCATCAGTTGTAGATTGTACATCTTTTCCAACAGGGTCTATTCTTTTTTTTTTTTTTTTTTTTTTCTTTTTTTGTCTTTTTCGTTTTTATTGGTACCAGGGATTGAACTCATGACTGCCTGCTTGTAAGGCAGGCGCTTATGTTGCTGAGCTAAATCCCCAGCTATTCTTATGCTTTTTTCTCTTTTCCACATCTCTGTAGCTGTCCATTGTAGAAAGAAGACTGAAAGTGTTTGTTATTAGTCATCATAAGATAAAATAAGAGATATTAAAAATAGGTCAAAAGGAGGCACAGAATTTAAAAATTATGCTTAAAAAATAAAGCTATACTGTAAGAAAAACTGAAGTAAGAGAAGCTATTGTTTCCCTGTTTCTGGAGGCCACTCTAGCTTATGAAACCCTTTTCATCCTCACTGAAATAGTGTTAAATTCCTGAATGGCCTTTTACAACGATTTATAAATTGCGGGGCACTACAACTGTCCTTTTCAACTGTAAGTTGTCTTTTCCTCCAGCCAAAAAAAAAAAAACAAAAAACAAAAAAACAAAACAACAACAACAACAACAACAACAACAACAAACTTGTCAATAGTCTGTCTCCACTTCAATCTCTTGTATTGTAATGTGATGTAAAATATACATCAAAGATCACCTGCCTTAAAGATAGCCCTTTAAATGTACCTTCCTCCAGTTTGTAGTGTATCTCATTTCTTTCAGCATGTGCTTAGAAGTCTTGCCTGCAATCTGTCATAAACCTTATTTGCGCCTCTTTCTGACAGGTACTAAACATTCTTTTCCTGAAAAGTAGCCAATAAAATTACAAATATATTTTAAGGGGGTAAGATAATCATAATTGGTTATGGTCTCCTTCGATGTGCAAACGTGGAGTGAAAAATTATCCCAGTGGGTTCTGCAGCTGTTCCACATGTAGTTACTGTAATTTGTAGAACTGAAGTCATTAGTAACCAGAATTTTACTTTGGTAAATTATATTCCTGGATTAAGTTACATGTTCTAGAGTGATGGATGAGTTTAGAAAAGTTCAGTTTTTCTCACTAAAATGCCATTTGTCTTAAGGATGATGTCATGATGGGCACATTGACTGTGAGAGAAAACCTACACTTTTCAGCAGCTCTTCGGCTTCCAACAACCATGATGGATCATGAAAAAAATAAAAAGATTAATGAAGTAATTGAAGAATTAGGTCTAGATAAAGTGGCAGATTCCAAGGTAAAGTGATTCAAACTGGTAAAATCATAGCCACATTATAAGACCTCGGGTGAACGAACAATAGACCTTAATCAGATGCTTTCTTATTGTTATAACCTAAGCCCCCCTATCTTGCCAAAGTCTGTTCTGTATAAGCGCCACCTGCTGCTTTCCCTCCTCTTCCCCCTTCACATCTAACTAGGTTAAGTTTTAACTTCCCAAAAGGCCATCAAACAAAGGCCTGAGGTAATAGCTCCTTACAACCCCCTTCCCTACCCGGTGGCCCAGTCACAAATTGTGTTAATTGCATTAGATTGTATTAGATTGTACTATTCTTCACAAAAATAGCTTCGTTATATTTGTATCATAGCAATACCTGTAACTTGGCCTTACTGTATGTGTTTTCCTTTTCCCTTTGGGTGATCTAATTGATATGTTAATCAATGCTCTCCTCTGTAAAGAATTGTAAAATCTTACCTAATTGATATGTTAACCATTGTTGCCCTCTACAAATAACAGTTGTGGTGGTAAAGTAAGGTAACTAAGGTTATTAATTGCTGTTAGACTTCTCTATTTTTTGCTAAGCAAAACAAGATTTCTTCTTATCTAAACTTGCTTGTATGCAGGGAGACTTGCTTGTTAGCACAACCCTTACCTGATCATGCTCTTCCCAAGACGTGTTTCTGTTTGCGCCACACCCCCATCCCCTTCCTTACTTTGTGTGACCAGCAGCTGTTTGTGGATTTACAAGATAAAAGCCCTGACTTTTAGCTGTCAGGGGCACAGTCTCCAAATTGGCTCCTGGAGGCTGTGTCACCAGGCCTGGCTTAAAATAAAGCCTTTGCTCTCCAAATTTTAATGTCTTGCTTCCTTGGATTTTATACTGGGGTCCAAGTTACCACACTTATGACTGTGGTAAAAGTGACTCTTTCTGCAACAAAGAGAAAAGTATGTAGGTATATTACATGGAGGTTTAAATTAAGCTGGAAAAATTAATTTAAGGATGCTTGACTCTCTGTCAGGTTTTAGAGATATAATTGTAGGCAAAAATTAAAAGCAAAAAAAAAAAAAAAAAGACAAGGTCAAAGAAACACCTGAATTTGAAATTTCTGCAGAATAATGAAAGCAAATCAGTGGAATGAATGACCTATCTAGTTGGTAATTTCCTTTTACAGAAAATCTGAGCAGGTTTGGTGTTTTGGATGGAAATGAGCTACTTAGATGATAACGGCTTTAACCTAGTGTGAGATTACCTGCTTAGAGTCATTGAAAACAAGGGTTCTGCTAACTACTGCCTCCTGTAGCACTTGCTGAAAGACTTTGGTGAACTGTTCTTTTTTTGGGAGAAAAATCTTTTTTTTTTATTTAAAGAGAAAAACAAAACTAAATGAAGCAAGACAGTAAAAGGCTAGAAGCAACACAGAATTTCAAGAGAAAAAACATACAGTAAGAGTTCACCAGTTAATAGATCACACATTGTCAACTTACAAACAGCTGTCCAGATTACAAAATTAAAGCATACAAAGTGGAGATTAATACAGTGAGATTGCAGTCAGTTCTGTTCAGTGATCCAAGAAAAACTCAGCAATATGGTTCTCTTTCCTACACATTTAAATAAACTTGCAGTTATATCCTTGAGATCACTTTCCTTCCTCTCTTTTTTACACTAACAATCGCGCATTTTAGTTTCCATTACTTTCACAGTTTTTTTTTTAACTTTTTCTTTGAAGAGGAAAAGAAAAAAGATTGAAAAAAAAGGCCAAAAAACAAAAAACAAAGCAAGATGGACCAAAGAAAAACCCAATGTGACAAAGCAAGACAGAGTCATTTAGATCAGGAGGATGGACATAGCATAAAATGAAAAAAAAAAAAAAAAAGGGGGGGGGATTACTAGGTGATCAACAATGGTTACCATTATGCCTCTTGTTATCTTAAAAAGAATAGCCTATATCAGCTAGTATAAAAGAATTGAACAAAACTGTACATAAGACAAATAAAACCACATTGGAGAGCTTACAGGTTCCAAAGAAGATAATAGTCAAATAATAACAGGCATCATAGAATATCTGGTTGCCTTCCAAATGGTTGCCTATACCCTCAAACTTGATACTATTAAGCGAAACAGAATATAATAAAATCAGTCAGAACAAGATATGGAGAACACTACAGGGGTTCAAATCAGGTTAATAGGGGAACAAAAAACATTACGGGAAAATAATCTTGAAATGCCACCAGTTTCCATTTATTTTCTTTTATTAATGATTCATTTTACCTTTCTCTCAGTCTGTTTTACTTGATTTTGTCATTCTCACAAGTTATTTCTTTTTACTCTGTTTTTAAAGTATTTATTGTTCTATATTACTCTTTGAGATTTCCAGGGAAACATGGAAAGAAATTATTGACTTCTTAGAATTCATATGATGTAATTGATTGAAATAGTACAGGTTTTATTTTTTATGATATAGTAAACAAAATAACTTAAAGGTAGATAAGATATATTGTTATTTCATTTTCCATATAATAGGAAATCAACTCAATTTCTTAGTTTTTAACATTATATTACATAATTCTTCAGCTCTTTCTTACAGATGTAATTTTAAAGAAATATGCCATGAATACATATTATGGATCTATAAAAATACCAGTGTGCAATATCAACTAGCAAAAGGATAATATTCACTAAGTCCATATTCACTCACAAGCCCCAAATTGTCTCCAAATGTCTTTTGTAGTTTCACTGTTAATAGGGACCTATTGAAAGTCAGGAATAGCATGTGATTATGACATAGGGGAATGAAACTCCTGACCCTCTGTTTGTCCAGTATGAGTTCATGTTCTCTAAAATTGAATGAATTTTAGAAACAACAGAGATTAAAAAGTAAAATATATTTATTGAGAGAAAGAAAACTTCTGTCTAAGAGATGGAAGGGGTCCCGAGCAGTTTGCCAGGAACTCTGTCTTTTCTAAGAAATTTATAGAGCAAAATCATGAGGTTAGATGGTCCAAATTGGGGAAAAATGGGAACTCATAAGGTGGGTATAAGGCAGAACAGAATTGTGGTCAACCAATAAGATATAATTGCTCAGATAAAATTGATTAAATTAGGAACAAATAGGGAAGCCAGTCACATAGTATGCAGGAATGCTTAACAGCAGTGACTTCTTATAGGGGGTTGGAACACTGACTCCTGACTTCCTCAGGGTGATAGAGATTTGTTTGGACTGTCCTTCCTTAGGATGTGGCTGTATTTGCTTTGCCTTTTGTCTGGAGATCTAGCCCACAGCAGGACGTGCCTGTCTCCTCAGAGGTGTCTGCTCTCCTCAGAACTTCTGCACTGGCTCCTTTGAGGGCTCAGCCCTGTCTGACTGTCTATAATATCTCTAAATAACTCAGCTGCCTGTAATAAGTATAGTATCTTTGGACACTCTTAATTACAGTTTCTTACTTCTTGCCTTTCCAAAAACTTCTTTCCCTTCTCATTACCCAAAATGACACACATAGGTTGAAAAGATTGAGATAGGTATTTTGTGAAATACTCCATCTCCTATATTTGTCTGAAAACAATCCATAAAAATCCTCTGATGAATTACAATATAGGCAGTGTCTATTGGGAAAGAGTTATGGAAATTGAAAAGGTGCTAATATAATCTGGTTGAAGGGAACTTTCTTGGCTTGAAGTCCACTCTCATATAATTTCATTTGAAGACTTCTTATGAAAACAGTAGAGAGGTATGTTGATAGAAGTCTAATAAATTTCTATAGATACTTGTTTTGCTTTTTTGTTTTTATCTCATACATAAATAAATAAAATAATACATTTGTGATATTGGGGACTGAACCCCTTGCTTTCATTCAGAGCTGCATCCCCAGCACCTTTTAAATTTTCTTTCAATTTTGACACAGGGTCGCATGAAGTTGCTAGGTTGGGCTTGAACCTGTCATTCCACTTCAGCCTTCCAGAGTGATGTAATTATAGAAGCTTGCCACAATGTCTTGCTTTTGTCACCTGTTTTAGCCTCTGATTTCAGAGTTGTGTCATACCATTTAGTGTTTTAACTTGCCACCTTAAAATATATGTATTTGACTTAAAAAGGTATGAATAAAAGTATAAAAAGTATCATATCTGATCTCAACCATTTAGTAGTTCTGACCTGAACCAACTTACTTATTTCATAAAACAGAATCCTTTTTAATTTTTGAGGACAGAGTAATAAATGATAGAATTTTCGGTGCAGCTAAAAAGATAAGAAATATGAAATAAAAGTGGCCTTTATTTTAAGATGTGGAAAGAGACTCCATGACCTCCAGGGTCTGGCATTCTCTCTGCCCTACGTGTGGTGCGGGGGCATAAATATAGCTTAGGTTTGGGGCGATGCCTAAGGTGCATTACTGATGCACAGGTGGCCCATTGGAATTCATTTCACACCACAGGTAAATTGCCTAGGGGTGGGAAAGGTGACCTCAAGATATATCCCCTTGGTTCTGCGTTTCAGGCTCCCACCGCTGCAGCTTCCCATCCAGGGAAAAATCCTTTCATTAATATAGAGTGGCTTGTACAGGGCTTACATAAAAATATTCACTGAATGTTAGTGGTCATTCCTATTGAGAATATTTTGTTTTAGGTTGTTTTTATCCTTTTTTTGGTATCAGGGATCAAACTCATGAACTCACACTTGAGCTGCTGACCTAAATCTTCAGGGTCCTTTTATTTTAGGTTGGAAACGAACGAATCCATGGTGTGTCTAGAGCAGAAAGAAAAAAGACCAGCATTGCCATGGAATTGGTTACTGATCCTTCCATCCTGTTCCTGGATGAGCCCACAAATGCTTTAGACTCGAGCACAGCACATGCTGTCCTTTTACTCCTGAAAAGGTAACTGCTATGGGAACTGTTCTTTCAACTATTTAATATCTGGTTACTTCTGTGCAGTGGATGTTCTTGGCTCAGATTTTCTTCCTTTTTTGTTAGAAGCAAACAGTCAGTCAACATATCAGTGCTATCAAGAAAGATGAAAGAGAAATGTAGGGGGCTGGCTATGGCTGTTGTGAGGGCTGATTTGAAAAGCAGGAGAGTCAGAGAAGACCTCAAGACTGTGGCAAGTGAGCTGCATGGGAGTGAATAAGATCAGGCTGCATCTGGCAGGAGACAGCTCTAGTTAAGGGAACAGCCAATATCCATGTGGCAAAACCAGAGCTTGCTGCATGTGGGACATTAAATAGGCCCGGGAGACAGAAACTAGTGAATAAGAGGAGTAGACATTGGCTAAGAACTGTCATAATAAAATTTCACAGAGTTGGTGGTTTAACAATAGAAATTAATTTTCTTGCAGCTCTGGAGGTTGGAAATCTGAGATCAAGGTGTACATTGTGCTTCTGACTCCTCTGTCATTGCCTGGAGATGCCCATCTTCTCCCTCTGTGTGTCTGTCTGTGGCATCTCCTCTTAAATGGACCCTGTTCACACACTCAGTGACCTGGTTCAGCCCTGGTTGCTTGAAGGCTATTGAGTTATTATTACTTCTATACCCATGAAAGACAAACCCAAGGAATATATACTTATGAGTGTGTTCATATATGTATATATGAATTGTGGAAATATATTGATGATAAACACATTTTCTATGTGTTTTCTCTGGCATATACATATATTATATATTTTTGCCATTTGTGGTTGTGTGGTGTTCCTTATCCAGCCCAGTGCCTCACAATGCTCTATCAATAAACAGCATCCCATTCTCTCAGTATTTCCAATAGAGAGAAGTACATAAGCATATATCTATAGTAATTGAGGTTTTTATTAGCATGCACTTTAAAAATACATATGAGCTCATAGTAGTAAAAAGATGTACCATTATTATTAATATAATATAATGTATAACATAAGGTATATATTTATAATATATATTATAAATAGCACAGTTATATACTATTGGATAATAATTATGTCACAATATATAATAATCATATAATATATAATTTATTATATATTATATTTTATACATATTATGTATGTTGCATATTATAATAATATAGTATATATTACTTATATACTATATAATTATATATTTGATAGAGTATATATCTAATTTATATGAAATACTTAATTATTATGATATAATAATGTATTAAGAATATATTATTTCTAATTGAAATATAACAGCTTAGTGTTAAATTTAGTCTTTTCCCTTTCCAGGTTGCATCTAACTTTAGACAGGGAACACATAGCTCCCTTTATCATTACATATTTAGTAGCCCATAGAGGCAAGAAATTTAATTATTTATAAAGAAATCTAGCTGCTTCTATTGACAATATTATTGATCTTCTGGCCTAATCACCTTTGAGATAACATGCTTAGACACATTGTTGGGATCTCCTAAGTGCTTACCAAATGCTTAAATTGAAGCAATTCCTTTTATAAAATATTTTAATTAAAATTTTGCAAAGGAAATTTAGCCATTATTTCTTCTATCCTATAATTTACTGATAAGTAGTTTAGCAATGTTTCTAGTATGAAATTAAATCAGAGACCTAGTCCCAGTCTTATCCTATATAACAATGACATTTTAATGGGTCTTGACTTACTAACCTTATCCTTAAATGGAATATAATAATAGTATTCAAACTACCATCAGCAGTATTATGAAAACTGAAGTGATATCTCTGAAGAATGTGGCAAACACATTGAAAGTAAACACTTAGTAATGTTGTTTTCTCAAGATAGAATAATTAATAATAATCACAAAGCAGAAGATTTAAATTTGAGCAGGTGATTATTGCTTTAATATTTAGTTCATATAACCCAAGGGTAAGATTAGTTGGGGTGGTAGTTAACAATCTGGGCTCCTAATGCACACTGCAGAGATTCTAATTCAGTGTGTGAAAACTATTCAAGCATCTGCTCCCAGTGCTTGAGAGGCTGAGGTAGGAGGATTGTGGCAAGTTTGAGACCAGCCTGGGCTACAGCTTGATCTGCATAGAGAGGCCCTGTCTCAAAAAGATCTAAATAAATAAATAAATAATCTACATTTTAATAAGGCTTCTAGTGGATTCTTCTAGTAATGGACCATCCTTTAAGAAACCTTTGCTTTTTTTAACAAAAGCATTAAAGTTAGCATCAATTACTTATGTGAGATTCAATGAGATATTTAAGAGAAAATTAAGTTGAACTGGGATTTAAATGTTCTAAAATCAGGAATAAAGTACTTTATCAAAAAGTGCAAAGTCAGATGTGTAATGACTGGTTCTTTCCTCTCCTTTAATTTAGGATGTCTAAGCAGGGACGAATGATCATCTTCTCCATTCGTGACCCTCGGTATTCCATCTTCAAGATGTTTGATAGTCTCACCTTATTGGCTGCAGGAAAGCTAATGTTCCACGGTCCTGCACAGATGGCTGTAGAGCACTTCACATCAGCAGGTAAGGTTGAGTTCTGTATGCAGTAGGTGCTGCAAAGAATCCTGGAGGAGTGCAGAGGAGGTCACAGGAATGCTGTTTGTCCTGTGTAGATGAACCTTCGGCTCTACCACTCTAAAATATCTTTGGCCAATTTAGTACCAGAGATTTGCTACATGTGCAGTACTTCTTTTTTGTTTAGGTCCCTCTCCATTTCCTGTCCCATTTGAATATGCATGCATGTGTGTGTGTGTGTATGCTGGAGTTTGTCTTCTGGGTTTATGTCTGTGTTACTTCCCAGTTGCCGTGTCATTTTCTTGAGAGTTTAGTAATTAGTGTGTTGGACTCACAGTCAGTTATTGTGTCAGTTGAACATAACTGGTTTTGGGGAGGGGAAACATACTGAGGACTGAAGGAAGAGCTTGCATTGAAATGCATTCCTAACCATTTTAAAACTTTGTATTTTGAGATAGTGTGTCTCATTAACTCACTAAGTTGCACAACTTGGGCTCGGACTTGTCATCCTTTTACATCCCTAATCTCTGTAAAATGTGCCAACATTTCTGCACTGTTTCTTTCAATCTTAGATGGAATTATGTGATTTTTTAAAAAAAAGAATACATGCCACGTGTTTCATTTTTAAGATATTTTCATATTTTAGTTACATCCCCTCACCTAAATACAATTTAAAATATTTTATAACTATCTGACTTAATATGTCTATCTTAAGCTATCTGATCTGTTGCATCTAAAATCAATAAAAATACTGTATATGAATCTGTAGAGTCTATGGGTAGTGGAATTTAACAGTTAGGTTTCAGGTGAAGTTGAGATGATTGCACCAAAAGGAGTTGAGATCTAAGCTCCCGTGTTCTGTGTTGGTCACATTCTATGGGGAATGCTGCTGTGGAATTTCTTGTCTGTTTGGAGTTATGATGGCATGACAAATAAAAATCAGACCTCTGCGTTTAGTTGGTGGGGAAGCCATCATTACTGGCATGTGTACAGCTGCTCCAGGGTTTTGTAGGGGAATTCAGAGAGCAAGTACACTGGTGTTTATATTTTTTCTTGATATATTTGATACAGAAAGTCAGTGAAACATCACTGCATTCAGGAAAGGATAAGTTAATCAGAGGAGAAGAGAAAAATTGAGGGAGAAAGAAAAGATTTAGATTTTAGTTCACATGCTTTGCCTCACCTCACCTACCTTCTGATATGAATCCTTTGTTATTAATGAAATTTATTGATACGTTTTAGATATACATAATGACTACATTTATCATATGGAATTTGTACCAGTACATGATATAACTTAATACTTCTTTTTTCCTCCATTCCCCTTTTCTATCCATATTTACAAAATCCTTCTTCCATTTTCCTTCTTTTCTCTGTTCTTTTTTTATTTCCCCTTTTTCTTTTCCCCTTCCCTTCTCCCTAGTTCTCCTTTACATTTTAGCATTGTCTTCTTTAGTAATATCTAGTATATATTTTGATGTTTATTGATGTCTTCAGTTTCTCATACCATAGAAACAATGCAATATTTATACATGTGTGCATGATTTATCTAAATTATAAGTATGGTCTCAAGGTGCATCCATTTACCTAGAAATGCCTCACACATCTTTCTTCACATGGCTGAGTAGTACTCCATTTTATTAAAAAAACCAGGGACCAGGGGCTTAGCTCACTGGTGTTAAGTGCCTGCCTGGAAAGTATGAAGTTGTGAGTTTGATCCCTGGCATTTTTATCAATCTGTTGGTTGATGGGCATTAGGTTTATTCCAAGATTTATATATTACAATCTTTGGTAGTATCCATTATAGCACTGTGGTGCTGTAAAACACAGATGTGCATATATTGCTGTAGTAAGATGACTTTAATTCTTTTGAAATGATACCAAGAAGGAGGATAGCTGGCTCAAATAGAACCTTTATTCCTAGTTTTTTGAAGAATATTCACACTGATTTCCACAGTAGTAGCATCAAGTCTACACTCCCACCAACAGTAGAAAGGATTCCCTCTTCTCTACAGTCAATTCAGCCTTTGTTATTGATTCATTTCTTGATAATTGCCATTCTTTATGGAGATAAAATCTCAGCTTTTTAAAATTTGCATTTCTCAAATGACCAGTGATTTTGAACATTTTGTATATATTTATTTACCTTTTCTACTTCTTTATCTGAAAAGCATCTGTTAATTTCAGATGCCCAGTTTTAGTTTGGGGTTTCAAATTTGGGGTCATGATTTTTTTTGAGTTCTTTATATATTGTAGCTACTAGTCCTTTGCCTGAAGAACAGCTGACAAAAAACTTTTCCTACTTTGCAAGTTGTCTCTTCACTCTGTTGGTGATTTCTTTTGCTGTGCAAAAGCTTTTTAAGAAGATTAGACTTTAGTTGTTGATTTCTTGCACAATCAGGGTTTTATTCATGAATTCTATGTGAGCATCCGTGTCTTCAAGAGTTCTACCTGTTCTCTTTCAGCAGATTGTTTCTGTTTTAATATTTTGATCTTTGATCCATTTTGATTTTGTTTAGGGCACAGTGATAGATAAAAGTCTAGTTTTGGCCTTCTGCATATGGGAAGCCAAACTTTGCATTACCATTTTTTAAAGAGGCTATCTTTCTTCCAGTGAATGGGTTTTACCCCTTTGTCAAAGATAACATGGTTGAGTATGTTTAGAGTTCTTTCTGCATCTTCTAATCTGTTCCATTAATCCTTGGGTCTTTTTTTTTCCTTTGTGTTTCACCAGTACTATGCTGTTTTTATCACCATACCACTGTAGTACAATTTCAAGTCAGGGATTGTGATGTTCTCTGTCTTGATTTTTTTTAACCTAGAATTGCTTTTTCTATTCTAGAGCTCCTCTGGTTCCAAATGAATTTTAGGAATGTTTTCTCTAGTTCTGTGAGGTATGGTAATGATATTTTGATCATAATTGCATTAAAACTATACAATAATTTTGGGATTATGGCCATTTTCACTATGTTGGTTCCTCCTACCCATGAGCAAAGAATGCCTTTTTATTTCCTGATATTCTCTTTGATCTCTTTTTTCAGAGTACTGTAGTTTTCAGTGGAGAATTCTTTTACTTCCTTTGTTAGATCAATTCCTGTTTTTCCCTAATTTCTCTCTTAGTGAGTTTGTTATTTGAGTATGGGAATTCTACTCATATTTCAGTTTTGACTTTGTATCCAGCTATGCAACTGAATTTGATTATGACAGCTAGCAGTCTTTTCGAGCAGTTTTTGGCGTTTTCTATGTAGAGTACCATGTCATCTGCAAATAATGATAATTTAAATTCTTCCTTTCCTAACTCTTTTCCTTTTATTTCTTTCTCTTGTCTAAATCCTCTGGCTTGTGTTCACAGAGTTAAAGAGTTGTGATAGGGGACATCCTTTGATGGTTCCTTATTAAAGAACTCTGCAGTAGGCACCAGTCTCCTGCCACATGTTATGTCATATGGCAAGAAGAAAGAGCAAGAGTCAAAAATACTAGTGGGGGACCTTTGATGGCTAGGTATTTGTGGGAGAACCAAAGCCCACGAGGAAGCCAGAACCTTGATATTTATTGATCACTGGAGAAAACGGCAGCTGGCTGTTCTAGACAAGTGGTTAGGCAGGAAGGCTTATAGCACAGGAAACAAAACCATTCTTGTGAAAGAGACTGAACAACCAGATTTGGGTTATAGTTAACAAGTAACTTTCTTTGTAACTAATTCTGAGAAGGAATTTTCTTCTGGAGTCATGTAAGCCTCAGTGGAGATGTTATCTCATATCTTAACGCCCTGGTAGCTGTTTGCTCTCATGGAGATACATACTCACTAATTAAACTGAAATCCAATTTAGGGAAGTCACCTCCATACAACCTGCATTTCTCACAAGTAAGCACCATCACTTTGAGTCCAGGGAGTGCAACATGGCAGTCCTTCCCAGTTCTTGATTATAGAGTGAAAACTTTCAGGTTTTGACCATTTAGTATGATGTTGAATTGTCATATATGACTTTTATCATACTGGCATAAAGATAATCTATTATCATGAATGGTTGCTGAAATTTTTCAGATGCTTTTACTGTTTCTTATAGAGATGGTCATGTGATTTTTGTCTTTGGCTCTCTTGATATGGTGTGTTACATGTATTGATTTGTGTATATTGCACCATCTCTGCATTCCTGAGATGAATCTTACTTGGCCATAATATATAATTATCTGTATGATTTGCTGTATTCTGTTTGATAATATCTTATTGAGGGTTTTTCCATCTATGTTCATTAGGGAGATTGCCCTGTAGTTCTCTCTCTCTCTCTCTCATTGAATCCTTCTATGGCTTTGGCTTCAGGGTAATACTTGCTTCCAGGAATGACTTTGGGAGTATTTCTTCCATTTCAATTTCATTAGAGTTTGGGAAGTAGTGGGATTAGATCACGTTTAAATTTTTAAAAGATTTCAGCTTTTCTTTGTTGGTAGGTCTTTAATTACATGTTGAATTCCATCGACTATGGTGGATTAATGAATATTCAACTCCTAACACCCAAAATATCTGAGTTAGTATGGTTTTGAGTGTCGAACACCCACTTGGGAATTGTTGCCAGCAGCATTAAAGGAGGACTGGAGAGGAGTATGAGATATTGTTGATTCTCCTGGAGAAGCTTGTCATGTTAGTTTTCCTGATATAAACTCAGCTATTTTCAGTGTTGGAGGAGCTTGGGAAATCACAGTTTCTGAGATTGCTGTGATTCTTTTTGTAAGAGCTCTGGTCCTTACTTTCAGCATTGCTTCCTGGCTCCAGTGAAGATTTCTCAGCCTGGTGACGCAGATCCTTCACCTCACTGACAGTTTTTCTATTTTACACTACTGTTCTTTGGGCCTTCCCAGTGAAGATCATTGATTACAGCCTCACATGAGACATTGTTGTGAGCTCTAGGCCTCCAGATGGACTCATGGAGGACATTGCCACTGGTTCTAGGTCTTCATCTGAAGTTGTGTAGGGCACTGTCATGGGATTTAGGTCCTCAGTTGGGTTCTTTCAGTCTCTAGTGTACAACAGATCTCTTGTACCTTTCTGCACTTGACTTTTTGGGTGAATATTATAGAATAATCCTATAACTTACATGTCCTATATTAAATCTATTTCCTTGAAAACCCTGGCTACCATATTGACTAATGCTGGGTATTCTAAATACCTATTTAGAATTCTTATATCTTCTTGATTCAGTGTTGATAATTCATATGTGTCCTGAAATCTGTCCATTTTTTCTGTTTTCCATCTTATTTGAGTGCGGGTTCTTGAAGTAGGTACTAGTAGTCTGTATGTCTTTAGGAACTAATGTGATTTTACCCTCTTCAGTCTTAATTGCATGAAGTTGAGTATTTTATTTTTTGATAAGATTGGTTAGGTGTTTGTCAATTTTATTTAATCTTTCAAAAAATAATCTCTTCCATTCATTGATTCTTCTGCTATAATCTTTCTAATTCCCTCTCTTGTATGAGCTTTGGGCTTGATTTACTCTTCTTTTCCTGAAATTTGTGGTTCAGCATTGTTTATTGGAACTTGCTCTGTTTTCTTAATGTGATAATTCTTTGCTATAAATTTTCCTCTTAGGACAGTTTACATTTCCAGAAGTTCCAGTATGTTATATCAGCCTTATCATTTATTTGTAGAGACTAATTCTTTAATTTTATCTGTGATTCATTTGTTGTTCAGGATGGTATTAATTTCCATGTGTTTGGGGAGTTTTTGAGATTTATTTTGCCATTGATTTCCATTTTCATTGCACTATGGTCAGATAATATGCATGAACTAATTTAAATTTTTTTCACTTACTTAAACAAGTTCTGTGCACTAGTATGAGTTCTGTTTTGCAGAACATCTCATGCTCAGACAACAAGAATGTGTATTCTGATATTGTGGGCTGGAACATTCTGTAGATAATATCTAAGTCAGTTGATTCACAGTTTTGGCTCAGTTCGGATATTTATGTGTTGATTTTTGTGTTGATATGTTTATTTGTTATCCAGTGGAACATTACAGTCCTCCATTACAATTGTGTTAGTGCTTATTTGAATTTTCATGTCCGTTAATATTTATTTTATAGAGTTGAGTGCAATGGTATTTGGTGCATATACATTTATGATTGTTATGTATTCCTCTTGCTGTTTTCCCTTAAGAAATATGTAATGAACTTCTTTGTCCCTCTTTGTCATGCTAGGCTTGAAGTTTACTTTTTCTCAAATAGATCTTGGTTTTTTTCCTGGTTCTTGTCACATGAAGTATTATCCTTGGGCTTTGAGTCTATGAATTTCTTTTTGAATTAAATGTTTCTCATATGCAGCATATTGATGGATTTTGTTTCTTGAATCATACTGCCAATATGTTTCTTTTGATTGGTGAATTTAGACCATTCACATGGTAGCTTTAACTGATATGTATTACCTTATCCTCATATTATTTTCCTGTTGTTTCCCTGTCATTCCCCTCTATCAAATTGCTTGCCTTGCTTGGTGGCTTCTTTTTATTGATGTTCTCAAAATAGTGGTCTTTGTTATCTCTTTTAAGGTCATCTTTCATTTATTATTTGGTAGCAGGGATTGAACTTACAACTTTGCACTTGCCAGGCAAGTGCTTATACAGCTCAGCTAAATCCCTGGCCCCATACACAATCTTTCATAACAATTTGTACAGCTTGTTTGATTGTCATAAATTCCTTCACTTGTTATTTGTCATGGAAGTATCTTATTTCTCCATCAGTTTTGAATCATAGTTTTGCAGGGTACATCAGTCTGGGTTGGAGCTGTTTGCTTTCAGGGGTTGAAATACTTCACTCTAAGGTCTTCTTGACTTAAGGGTTTCTGTTGAGAGGTCTGCTGTGATTCTGATGGACCTTCCTTTATAGGTGATTTGATTATTTTCTCTAACAGGTTTTAATATTCTGTTCTTATGCTGAATTTTTAGAATGTTAATTATTATATGCCTTGGTATAAATGTATTTTTTTCATAACTAATTGGAGTTCTATATGCCTCTTTTATTTGTATACCAAATTCCTTTTCATTTATTGGTAAGTTTTTTGCCATTACTTCTGTGATCAGTTTTTAAAATAGTATTTATGTATCTCCTGCTTTCTCATCACCTCCAATCAATCTTATACCATTCTTCTTTATATCATATTGAGGCCCTTAGATTGATTTTTCATGGTACTTTGTTTTAAGAAGTCTTTCATTTTGTTATTGTTACCTACAATCTTGTCTTCTAGACTGATATGCTGTTTTTACCTTGGTGCAGCTGACTGCATACACTTTCTAGGGAATTTTTAATCTCATAAATATCTGCTTTACTGTGTTACATAGATACTATTTGTTTCCTGTGGTGGATATTCATGGTTTCTATCATTTTTCTAAGCTTCTGTGTTTTTTAAGTCTGTGTCTACTCTAGATTCACTGAGCAGATTCTTCATTTTGATCATTATCTCTTTTTCTCCAAGAGAATATATCTGATGTGATTTTCTCTCTAGTCTTATTCATATGTTTTTCTCTGCTGCTGATATCATTTTAGAAAATTCAGGTGGGTAACTTCTGATTTCTTCTAAATTGTTGTCTCCTGAACTTGCCACATGAGGGCTGGAAGTTTGGGGTTGCACTTTGCTCGGGCATCTTATAATTTTCTGTTCATTTTGATTTTAATGTTTTCTGTGTTGATGCATGTAAATTTCTTATGGTATATAGCTTCACCACTAGTATCCAGGACTCCCTAGGAAGTGTCTATTCCTCATAGATGTCTTCTAGGTGTAGCTGGGTTTTATTCCTTGTGCCTATCTCAAGATCCTACCTTCTCAATTTATGAAGGATAAGAAGTTGGTATTTATTTGACTCAGCACCCAGTTCTTCATTTTTGGTGATGGTAATATTTATCACCTTAGACAATTACATTGTTGTCATACAAAGGAGAACAACTTTTTACAACACTTATGACATACTGGCTAAGGTAGCACAGTTAGCAATAACAGTAGCATTAAGCACAATGTAGAAAGTGACAAACTGTGGCAGTTATAAATTTCATATGTTTAATCATAGGAATAAGATCTACTGTTAGAAAATCCAACATATACCCTGAACTTGTATGTAGTAAGTTTCTCCTTAGAGTGATTTTACATTGTGGGGGTTTTTGCGGGAGTTTAAGAGGGATAGGAGATAAAACAGAGAGATAAATGAAGAGAAGTATAGTAGAAGGAGGGCTGAAGGACAAAGGATGATCACCAAGCTTTGGGAAACTGGAGAAGAGGACAGGAGAGAAAGAATGAATAAGAAAGTAAAAAAAAAAAAAAAACAAAAAACAAAAAACAAAACCAAAAAGAAAATCAAAGCAAACCAGAAAGACCAGAGACAAAGTTCACTTACATGAAAATAACAAAAAAAAAAACCAAGAGAGACAATTAGAAAAACAGGGAAAAAAGCCAAAAAAGTAAAAATATGAACAATCAAAAAAGAGCCAGACAAAAAAAGAAAAACGAATGAACAAATGACCAACAAAATTCCTCAGGTGTCCATAGTTGTGTGGTAGTATCCAAGTCAGAGTCGAAAACTGTACTAGGTAACCATACCAACTCTTCAGTATGATTAGTGCTGGATGTTGGGCTGATCATGGCTTTTGGATGTGGGGTTTGGGGTCATAGTCTTCAACCAGCAGGTTTCTAGATGTCCACTGGAAGCCTGCCCACTTCTCCTTATAGTTTCTGTGTCACTCTTCTAGTTGCTACAGGGGTCTCAGACAGTGACTGCCTGAGGCTGCTCCAAATGCTATGTACAACTGGCCCTCTTGGTCCTTACCCAGTCTCCTCTATTTCAGTACTGCTCTTTCATCTCTCTCCTCTTATACCACAGATTACAGAGTAGCAGGAGTGTTGTCAGCCAACTTACTGCCCCTGTTGCTCCCGTGTGTTGCTGCTGACAGTCCAAGCCTGCTTCTCTCTCCTGCCTAGTAGGAGGAGTTCTGATTTCATACTGATTGCCCTCAATTCCAGCCCTAGATAATGAACCAATCACAGACTCTAGATTCAGCAACCTCCAAAAAGATGCCCCTGCATTGTGACCACATGAGGCTTTGGGGGGCCATCCAGACATACACCATAACAGTGATATTCCACTCACTACCTTCACCACTACTGCTGCTATCCCTAACCATGTTGTCACTACAGGTTCCAGTTAGCCACTATGGCTCACTACAAAACAAAACAAAACAAAACAAAACAACCCAAAAAAATAAAAAACAAAGACTGGTGGCCATCAGGAAGCAAGCAGCTTCCTGGTCACTCACCTCTGTGTGTGCTTCTGAAATTTGCTGCCATGTTGCACTCTCCTGTTTGAAGGAAAGTAAAAGAGATGAGGGGCCTTATATCCAAATCCATCCTGTGTGGCTTCAGTTTGCCATCTCCTTTTTGGGAACGTCCCAGAATAACAGTTTCTACTACATGTACAGGGTACAGTGCCATTTTACAAAGTACCATGTCTGTGTTTTATTTGATCTACAGATCTATAGAGGAGGAGGCTCACTAAAGCTATTCAGATAAAATATTATTTTGGATTGATTTTGTCATCAAATTATATATCCCTCCCTTTCTTCTAATATCCTGTGTTTTTAGTTGATTTTATCTGAGTAGCTTTAATGAGGCTCCTCTTCTGTTCAGTCCTGTGAGATCCCCAGTGGATCCTTTTTATTTCCAAGGACATAAGCTTTGTCTACTTGGGTTGCCTTCTTTGTTCCATAGGTTACAACTGTGGACCCTACAACAACCCTGCAGACTTCTTCCTGGATGTCATCAGTGGAGTCTTCACTGCTGTGGAATCAGACAGAGAGGAGGAAGACAATGAATGTATGTGGGCCTGTAAGATTCACAGTTTTACCTAATTGTAGTGGCTGAGATTTAGCAGTGGGATAGCTCATCTGAAGAAGGCTTTGTGAATTCATGTGAATGTAGCCTGCTTTTCTCCTTTCCTTCCTTCTTTTTTTCCTTCCGTACTCCCTCCCTGTTTTCTTTTCTTTTCTTTTGTTTCTTCTTTCTTTTTATATATGGATCTTGCTAAGTTACCTGTGTTATACACAACTTTAAAACCTTCTGCCTCAGCAAGAGTGCCTAAATCTATAGTATTTTTAAAATAAGAAACAGCCTTTTAGGCTTTGCATAGAATAAAATGCAAGGGCTTGAGTTTTATATTAACAAGAATATATCTATGCACTAATACAATTATTTTAAGAATTAGCTTTGAAATATCAAAGGTCATTCAGTTTGCTATATTCATAAGGTTATAGCACTAGTTAAATGTGCCTTTTAGTGTGTAGAGCCATAACAAAGCTATTAATTTTTATTCTTAAGATGTAGAATTGAAGTGTGATACTGGAAATAAGTCACAGTGAAATATATTCAATTATTTTCTGTAATGCTATTTCCTTTCTTTTGACACTTTTATTACAAAGGCGGTAAGACTGAAGAGTTTTCCATGACAAATGAGCCACTCATAAAAAAGTTAGCTGGATTCTGTGCTAACTCGTCTTTGTACAGAGATACAAAAGCTGAACTAGATCAGCTCTTAGATGGCCAGAACAAGAGGAGCTCAGCCTTCAAGAAGTTCGCCTATTCCACCTCCATTTATCATCAACTCAGATGGATTAGCTGGCGCTCACTGAAAAACTTCCTGGGTGATCGACAGATGTGCATAACTGAGGTAGGGTTCTTGTCATTGGGCTGTGAAATAGTTATGTGGGGAAAATTTGGTTTTGTTTTATTCTTCTCCAGGATTGTATATCTCCTTCCCATCCTCCCCTGTGTTTGTCATCCCCACTCCATCTAGGATATAGAAACAATCACTGGGACAAGAACACAAACTTGTTTTTAATTCTTGAAAATTTTTGTTAGAATACCTCAGAGTATTCATTCAAACAGTGATGGATAACTTAAGTAGAAACTTAATTTTGCTTCAAAATATGTAAGCTAAAGGAAATACCACTTAATCTGTGTTTTCTAAAAATAGGTTTCCACTTTCATTCACTGATTCACTGCAGAAAATCACTACAAGGACATATACTGACTGCACTTTGGGAACTGTAATTATAAAATGATCTACTATATAACACACAATGGGTAAAAATAAAAATCTCTGTATTCATGGATTTTATCTTCTATGAGTACATGAAAATTATAGTTAAAAATAAACTGTTTCTAGTGATAGAAGAACTATGCTAAAAGTTTTAGTGGGGAGGGATGCAGAAGGGAGAAGGGAGGGACAGAGATAGGGAGAAGAGATTGGTTTCAATCAGTGAGGGAAACTTGTGCCCCTGCGTTGATCTGATATGGTGGGAGCTGTGTGCTGCCTGAGGGAAGAGCCTGCATGCCACGTACTGCTCTTTATCAGTGTTTCTCTGTGTTCAGTGATTCAAACCTTGGAAATCAATAGATACTTCAAAGAGTTTGCAATTTATAAATAGGAACCAAACTTAATATTTGCTTCACCAAGATGATGTACTTTTCTTTTTTTGGTCGTTCTTTAGAGATTGATTATCATACTTCATAGTTTTCCGTTATCCTTAATCTTGATATCACAATTAAGTTCATTTTTCCATAATTTATAAGAAAATCAATTTAACTGGTTGTTCTTGAGTTTCTATATTTATTATCAATCAGTGAGTTTCCATCAAGTATTTGCATGTTCTGGCACTAATTAAATAGAGTAGACTTAACATGTACACTGTAATTTTCATATTGGAATATTGTCAGGAAAAGCTATATTCTTATTAGAGTCATTCTGTTAATTGTACCAATATTATCTGGTCATTGCAATTTGGCATTTCTCTAAGAACACATTCACTTTTGTGTTCTGTCAATCAAGAGTAATTTTTTTTCTTTGAGAAGAAAGTTAATGTCATTTGAAAACAAGTTTGATTAGGTATATATGTCAACTTGGTTATCTGTTGTTGAAAACTGAGATGATGCAATGTATTGATTCTTTGCTTTTAGTTTTTTTTTTTAAATTAAATCATGTTTACAATGCATAGCAATCACATTCCTTGTGGGGAGTTGGTACATGCACACAACACAACTCAATTCCTTAAGTCCTTCTCTCTCCTCCTCCTGCCTTCCTTTTTCTCCTGATCTCCCTCCCTTTTGAAGAAGATCTTCCTCCCTACTTTCTGTTAGGTTTCTTCTGTTTTTCTCCTTATTCATGTTTTGGTATTTTCATATAAGAGAAACCATGCAATATTTAAATTTGTATTTCTGATTTATTTCTTTCAACACTATGATTTCTATGGGTACCTATTGTCTTACAAATGACTTGAGTTTATTCTTCTTTATGGTAGAGTAGTATTCCAATTATCTATCTATCTATCTATCTATCTATCATCCATCTATCTATCTATATATCTATATCTATATCTATCTCTCACATTTCCTTTACAAATTCATTTGTTGGTGGACAAATAGGCCACTTCCAAGGTATAGCTATTATGAATTGTGCTTCTACAAACATGATTATACATGCATAATATGGTATATTTACTCCTTTTAGAATCTCTCAGGGACTTTTTACATAAGGTTTTTTCTAGCTTATTAAAAAATTGACTTGTATGTATCTGATCCAAGACAAATATATGGTAGTTCTGGGTAGGGAATGATTAAAACACACCTACTTATACCCATCAGGGCTGTGTGTGGTTTGATGCTAGGCTTCCTTATGCTGCAAGCATGAGGTGCAAGTTCAGCCTTTGTGTGGCACCAAGGAACTCACTTCTACAACAGGAGTTCCAGCAAGGTTCAGAGAAGCATCAATCTCTAGAATAATCATAGGATCTTGAATTTCTCTGAGCTTAGCATGGCTACTCTTTTTCAGATTTAGAAATATTAGAGTAGTACTATAGCAGTAGAAAACCATTCTGGTAAAGAGTTGGATGGTAAATATGTGAGGCTTTGCAGATCCTATACGTCTTTCCTTAGGGCATCAAACCTGCTATTTTATTGTGAATACAGTCATAACTAATACATATGGAAATGAGCAGGGCTATATTTTGATAAAATTATATTTATGGATACTGAATGGAATTTAAAATTTTAAATTTCATATAAATTTGATATTGTAAGAAATATTATTTTTGATCTCCTCCACCTATTATTAAAATTGGTAAAAACTGTTATTATTTCAAAGCTTAATACAAGTATATGTCTGGCCCTACGGTTATTGTCATTGGTTACTGACTTTGGGAGAGGTTCTTAGTCTTGTAGGTTTATTTTCTGTTTTTATATATGGAGCTTTTGAAACACTTATGACTTCCTGTGGATAAATATATTTACTTACAGCTGTTTTTAAATTTTTTTTATTTTAAAGGGAATAAAATGAAAGAGAACAAGACAAAGCGAATCATAACAGAACAATGCAGGCAACACAGCACTTCACAAAAAGTCAACTGAACATCGACTTTAGCTACCATAACGTCTCTTTTCTTTGAAATAGTTGAGTATACCTTAATACACAATAATATCAAACCTAATAAAATAGTATAAAAGCATTCAAAAGAATGAAAGCATTACAGGACTTCAAAAGCAAATAACAGGAAATGAACACCGGCTACTATAATATCTCATTTTCCTCAAAAAAGTTGTCCATACCATCACACATAATAAAATCAAATAAAACACAACAGGATAGAACCAACCAAAACAGAAGAACAAAAGCACGGTAGGATTTCAAAATAAGATGATAATAAATCAGTAATGGCTACCAGAATATCTTAGCTCTTCATATCATCACACATAATAAAATCAAACAAAACAGAATAAAACCAATCAAACCAATGAATGAAAGCTTTATAAAACTTCAAAGCAATATGATAGTAAATGATCATTACCATAATATATTAATATTATATATTACTATAATAATAATTATATTCAAAATAGCTGCCCCTACCATCTGACAGCATAAAATCTAATAAAACAAGACAGAACAAAGCCAAACGTAACAAAATTGTGTAAACAATGCAAGAATTCAAGATAAGACAATAAGAAACTGACAGTAGTCTCCACCTTTCCTGCCCAGGTGTTTCCTCCCTTTTGCTCTTACATTAACTATTTTGCTTTTGGATCCCATTAACTCCTTCTGTTTTTTATGCTAGCATTCACACATATGAGTTGGAACTATTTCAGCCATGGACATGATCTCCAGTTGTGACCATTTACCTAAAGGAGCCTTGAGATTATTTTACTTTATAGCTGGGTAGCTTTACACTGCATGAAAAAATTTTTTTTGGTCTCCTGTCACTGGGAACAATTGTTTTCTCTCCTTTGATTTTCAGTCTATGAGTTTCCTTTCCAGTTAAATGTGTTTCTTGTATACAGTATATCAATGAATCTTGTTTCTTGATCCACTCTTCCTGTGTTTCTTTTTTACTGCTGAAATGAGGCCATCTACATTAATGGTTACAACCAACATGCATTGAATTTTCTCTGCCACGCTATCTTCCTTTCGTTGGCCCTCCACTTTTCCCCTTTTTCAATTGCCTGTCTTATTTGGAGATCCTCCCTTGCTGCTCTTCCTGGAACCATGATCATCTTTATCTCTTTCTATAATATCCTTTAGCACTCTCTGTAGGGTTGGTTTGGTAGTCATGAATTCTTCAGTCGTTCTTTATAATGGAAGTATCTTATTTTTCTATCAAATTTGAAAGATAATTTTTCTGGCTAGATCAATCTAGGATGGAAGTTGTTTATTTTAGTGTTTGAAATACTTCACTTCTTACTTTTTGTAACCTGATGGCTTGTGTTGATAAATCTGTTGTGATTCTGGTTGATTTTCCTTTGTAGGTGATCTGACTCTTTTTCTGTAACAGCTTTTAATATTCTGTTCTTGTGCTGAATTTCTGGGATCTTGATTATTATAGGTCTGGGTGTAGATTTACTTTGCTTATGGCTAGTTGGAGTTATATATGCCTCACTTATCTGCATGCCACACCCATTTACTTAGTTTGGAAAGTTTTCTTCTATTATTTCTGTGAACATCCTTTTAATTCCATTTGTGGTGACCCCTGCTTCTTCACTGACAACTATCTCTCTTAAATTATGCTTCTTTGTATCATCTTTTAACCACAGAATTCTTATTTCCTGGTTCCTTGTTATTTTTAAGAGATCTTTCCTTTTATAATCATTACCTGCAATCCTATCTTCAAAGTTTAAAAGTCTGTCTTCTCTCTCTTTCAAGTGATTTTGGCACCTTTTGATTGAATTTTTAATTTCCTGCATCTCTCTTTGAATCTGTTTCAGGCATTGTAATTCCTTTCTATATTGTCCTTTCAAGGTTTCCATCATTTTCCTATGCTCCTATTTTTATCTATGTCTTCTTTAGATGTGCTGAACAATTCTTTCAGTATGTTTGTGACTTCTTCTTTTACCTGAGAAATCTTCTGATTTGATTGCTTTTACAATCTCATGGAGTTGTCTCCTTACTCAGTTGCTATCTTCTCAGAGATTTCAGGTGTGTGACTTCCGTTTCCTTCCATGACTGTATTTCCCAGACTTACTGTGTGTGGACGAGATGTCTGAGTTTTCTTTTTGTTCCTTCATCTTGATGTTCTCCTGGGTTCTTCCCAATAAGCTGGTTTTGGGGTTCCAGGCACTTCCCACGTTAATTGCCCCTAGGCAGTGTAGGTGGATGGGACAGTCACCTGGATTCCTCTAATTTCAGGGAGATAGCAGGGCATGGAGCCGGCTTCTCCAGACCTATGCCAGCTGTTTTTTTCTAAAAATTTGTTGTTGAACTTGTTAAATGTTTCAATGTTTCAGCACTGGTCATTTATTAATTGTAATATTTGGAAGATCTTGCCACAAATATGTTATCTGGATAAGGAAAGTATTATTCACTAATGTGCCTGGGTTTTTCATATCAAATCAACTTGGCAGTCATCATAGTTGATCATATGGAGAGTTTTCTCTGTTATATTACATATTTGACTCTGGATTCATTCTATTAGTGATAGCCATAAACATTCCTCAGAACTTACCGTCAGATATAATGCCTAAATGTCTTTGAACAGTAACATTTGGAGAGTTAATGTTTTATCTCTTGTTAATTACATTTTTATCAATAGAAGACTGAGACCAGATGCCCAATGATCATAGCAGTGTCATTTTTTCTGTTGTGAAGTGTTGTTTGCCTGAATTTTTCTTTTATTACAGCATGAATAACATATTTGTACCTTATGAAAGCAGGACTTTCTCATGAAATTCATTGTTTTGCTAATAAATCTGAAAACTGACTAAAACAGTTGAAGAACTTTGAAACCTTATGAAACATCTATCATCTAGTAGTGATATTGTTGGTATCATAGTTTAGATTTCATTTCCTCCCAAAGTGCAATAGATTCACAAGAGAAATTTTTAGAAAGTGTTTGGATGACAGGTTTTTAGAAAATGATTGGATAATATAGCTGATGTAATCCTAGGAGATCTGAACTGATTACCAGTGGATCACTGTGGTCGTGACATGGAAGAATACATCTCCCTCCCTGCTTCCTCTGTTTTCTCTCTGGTTCTGTTCCACCCAGGCCCTTTACCCACATAGTTTTTGCCTTGGAGCCAGAAAACTCTGCACTGAAACCTCTGAAAACCATGAGTAAAAATTAACCTCTCCTCTTTTAAATTATGGGTGTCAGGTATTGTGTTCCAGTGATGAAGTAACCAGGATTTGGCATAAAGTATCATGTTTGAGTAGAACAAAACAAAGAATGGGGATTGTCTAGTTTGCTGAATATCATAAAATGTTTTACTGTGCTATTGCCCAATGGGCTTGCTGCATGTTGATTAGAGCCATCAGCATTTATCTTGGAAAACTGCTCTGCGGAAATGAAGAAGAGTATATTCTGAGTATAGTGAAAATATGCAGGGCTGTCATATTACTATTTTATTAACGAGGGTATCTTTAAAGGTTATCTCATAAGTGGTGCATTTAAATGATATTCTTCATAGACTATGGTTTTAACAGGCTAATCTTACAGATCATTATTCTGTTATACTGCTATATCTTTTTTCATTCCAAACACATTTTTAAAATAAATTACTTCATGTCTTCATGCTGCTATACTATTGAGATATTTCAGTTAGGACATTTCCAAGATACATGGTAGGACATTTTTATTTTTAGATGATCACTTCTCATATGTTTATATGTAACCCACTAGCGAGTAATTAGAATTCCTCCATTACATTGTGTCATAAAGTAGTGGTGAAGCCACAACTAATTTCTGGTGCTGCAGAAACTTTTTATCCTAAAAACAAAGGAGATATTTGTGTAGTACCCCTGGGAGCCATCTACATAGTTTGTGTAAACGAAGGATGCAAGTACTGGCAGCTCAGGTGGCCTTGTGGACCGCAGGGCTCACGGGCTGAGATTGATGGAAAAGCATTGACAGACACGGGTAAAGGCAGATCTTTAGTCTTCCTAGGGAAAGTTGGCAGAAAGTTTTGCTTAAAATGACAGTTACTATTTTTATACAACCAATGATTTCTTAGAGATTGGATAACTGGTATACATTTCACTCATGACTCCTGGAAAATGCCATTGTGCACTTTAAACTGAGGATCAATCCTGAATTCTTGTAAATGTTAACCAAGTACTTAACCATTGAGCTACTTCATAGCTCCAAAATGCTGTTTGAATTCATCTGTATTTCACTTTGGTTTCTTGTAGTAGAAAACTGTGCATGTCCACAGGCACAGAGACTGACATTGACATGTCAGTTCAAGACATGACTCATAGTCATGTAGACTCTAATTTATTTCCACAAAGACTCCTCCAGGTGCCTGTGTTGCTCTTTTATGCTTCATAGGATTCATGAGCTTGAGCTGTGCCCTAATCTGGCAGTGCCTGGTGGGACCCTGGGAGGAACTTAGGGTTTTCTGGTCATCTCCTCATACATTTTCAGTTTAACGTAGGGAACAGTCTAACAAAGTATACGTTATACTCTTCAAGGATCTTTGGCCATCACATTAAGAGTGTTAAGTTCAGTGCAGATATCTATGTCTATTCTGTCTATTTATCTATATGTATCTATTTCTTTACATCTGTCTACATCTATATCATTTATATCTATCTATATCATCTTTCCTAATAGTAAATAATGTTTAAAAATTTCAAATCTAATTGAAACTCTTTTCTTTTTTCTTTTGCTCTTTCAAAAGATCATTATCACAACTATAGCAGGATTGCTTATGGGTGTCTTTTTCCTTGGGCTAAAAAATGATTGTGCTGAAATCCAGAGTAGGTAAGTAATTTTATGTCTTAATTCTGGAAAATATCATCACTTTGTTCAAACCTATGGATACTTGTTAAGAATTTTAGTGTATGTGGAAATCAGTGTGGAAATTCCTCAGAAAACTATAATTAGAGTTTCCAAACCATCCAGTCATTCCCCTTCTGGGTATTTTCCCAGAAGAACTGAAAACATCACACCACAGTGATACATATGCATTCATGATTATAGCTGCAAAATTTGTAACAGCCAGATGTTGGAAACAACCCAAAGCCCATAAACTGAGGAATGGATAAAAAGGATTTGATATTTTTGTACAATGGAATACCACTTAGCCATAAAGAATGATAAACTTGAGGCTTTTGTAGGTAAATGGATGCAACCAAAAACCATACTCATAAGTGAAATAAATCAGAGTTGCATGTTTAAACACCATATTGTCTCACTAGTATAAGAAACTGAAAGAGTAAATAAGATTCAAAAGTTATAATAGATATAGTAAAAGGGAAAGAAACTGCTCAAAGAGAAATTATATTGTTTGATCAATTTTGCATGCTTATACCTAGTGACCTGGGCAACTTTTTGAAGATAACAATGTGAGATATAACAACTATTGTTAAATTTCTATCATCTTGATTTGAAATCCTAAATATTGCTGTTTGTTGTTGTCATTTTGATTTTTTGTTTGTTTCTCAATTTCTTCTGTGTTTTTTTCACTTAAAAGTTTAAAAGAAAAGACTCTTAGTGTAAACCAAGTACAATATATCAGTGTATTGATGTAGTGGTATGAGTTGATATATGAAAACTGAATAAAAGAGTTTACATTCTCTGTCACATATGTATGTATGTATGGTATTATTGAAATATGCATGACATGTGTTTTGAATTTGAACCATTTTAAGTGTACAGTTCAGTAGCATCACATACTTAACACTTACAGCTGTTACAACCATCCAACTCCACAGTTGCTTTTTATCTTAGCAGAAAGAATCTCCATGTCCAATAAAATAGCAATTCTTCATACACATCTGTTAAACTGCTATTTAATACAGTTCTTTCTCTTTCTGAATCTGACTACTCCAGAAACCTAATATATATATAAAGAGTATTTAGGGTGTGTGTGTGTGCACACACGCATGTGTGTGCAGTGTGTGGTTTATTTCCTTAAGCATAATGCCCTCAAAGCTCACCCAAGTGAACTTGTTCACCCAAATCTTAACTTGGCTTTGAATTTTATTCCTTCTTGAGTCTCAGTAAGAGTCCACTGTGTTAGATAGAAATTTAGGCTATAGTAACTCGAGAGACAAGTGGCTTGTGTCTACATGAAAATCAAAGAAGACATGATGTTGTCTTTCCTTTGCTTTCTTATTAGCTATATATAATGTCCATAAAAGCTATGCTTTTAGCTCAAGTGAGTGTAATATCCCAAGAATATGCTGGTAAGGTCTAGGGTCTGAACAAACTCCAGACCATGGGTGAAGATTTAAGGAAAAATTTCAGTCTCAATAAACTACCCCAGGAAAAATCTGCCTAAACAATAACACAGAAAGAAAATACAAGCCATTTGCCGTGTAAAAAAACAGCAATAAGCTCATATTAAGGAAAAGATATTTCTTAAAAGTCTCAATTCCAGGTCATAGAGACAGTGTAAACTTGCATATGCTTGTACTCTGCCCTTGGATTTCTCGCTTTCTCCATTTCCTCCAGAACGCTTCTACTTTCATTGTTTCTATTTTGAGCAGTTGAATATTACATCATTTCTGGAAAATGTCTCATGAGTAGAAAACTGATCTAAAGATATTTAAATCATTGTGATGTTCTTTATTTCTGTTCTATCCTGACAGAGTCTGGATGTTCTATGTAGTGACAATTTCCCCCTGTGTTTTCCAATTTTCTGCAAGACACCTCTTTCTGGGGGAGAAGAAGCTCTTTATGTGAGTAAGGCTCTGGTCTGGGTAGGGGCATTAGAGGATGTTGGGCAACTGGTTACATCCAGAATATGGCTAAGAATGTCATCCTAGGGATTACCAATTTTTTTTCATGTATTTCTTTGTTTAGTTTGAAGTTATAATTTGTAAATATTTATCACTTATAACATGAGATTTTAAATTTTCATGGGATTTACCAATATTTGTTGGGGAAAAAGTAGCCATAATCAAGGGGAAAAAATCAAGAATGTGTGGGACCTAATACCAAGGTAAAAATATATCCATTTTAAGGCATGGCCAGCAAATTTAAATGGAGAAAAAACAGTAGTAAAGGGGTTGATAGTTCTTTGGTTAAATTTGTGGGGCATGGGATAGATTAACAGGTGGGTCCATCAGCAAATTCGAGTTGGAGTGTAAAGATGACAAAGACTGACCATGTTAAACCCTAGTGTACAGAGGAGTGGAAAGAGCCAAAGTGCTGCTTCATAGTAAAAAGTAGAATGATTTTGTTTCTTGTGTTTTTCAAAAATGGAAGAGATTTGCCCTTATTTACATACCAATGACAGGAGTCATCAGAAAGGGAAGGAATGACGAGAGTAGTAGAAGAGCTCAGATTTATGAAAGATGTCAGGAAAATGGAAAGATCAGGATTTGGTGAACTGTGTAGTTTAGAAGTGTAATCATTAAAAAGAGAAGTCTTTTATTTTTTTAAACATGAGAGTAGTAGAAGTAAAAATGGATGAGTGATCTGAAGTTGTATTAGGTGTTAGAGAATAATAGTGTTACCTTCATCATAATCAGACATAAGACAAGTAGAGCCACATCAGAGGAGAAGCACAGTCTCTGAGAAGAGTGTGGTGATACAGACCCTGTGCACATAGTAGAGAATTCTGAGGCCAGTGGGGGGATATGTAGCAACACAGGATCACAGTGAGAGCCTCCTGTGACTGATATGCAGAAGTGCTCACATTGAGAGCATGAAGAGTTGGAGGGAACATGGAAGATGTGGGAAGCTCTCATATTACACATGTGGCAGCAGAAATCTTTAGAGAAAAAAGCTCACCTATTAGGTGATGCCTTATTAAATTATCAGGGTTGTGTAATTTATGTTTGTCTTCTATAGGCATGAGTATATGAATGGATACTACAGAGAGTTATCTTATTTCCTTGGAAAACTGTTATGTGATTTGGTACCCAGGAGGTTGTTGCAAATTTTTATCTCTACCTGCATACTATACATCATGGTAGGTAAGTAGCAGGACAAAGAGGCTGTGTCTTTAGTCTTGGATATGAGGTGAAGCTGATTTCACTTTGTCAGTGCAGTTATGATTCTCAAAACTGCTGACCAAGCCACAAGCAAGGGAAGCATGTAACCACCAGGCATGCACACTCTAAAATTCCTATTCAATATGGATGTTATTCCCAAGACATTTTCCCAACTGAAAAATTGAAACTCTTTATAGAATTATTAAAATCTTTATTAAGATACACATTTATTGTGACTTATTCAAATATGGAAATTATTTGTAAGATTTGTTGAGTCTGCAAAAATTGGGACATTTATTGTATAACTACTTATATTTTTCTGTCTCTCAACATATTTCTAAATAAAAAAGTTTAGATAAGTAGTTAATAACTTTAACATATCTGTCTATATCTCTAAACCAGCATCAATCTATCCAATTACATATACTCAACTGTAAATATATATATATATATATATATATATATATATATATATATATATATATATAGAGAGAGAGAGAGAGAGAGAGAGAAAGGGAGGGAGAAAGAGAGAGAGATTAAAAAGTTCAATATACACATATATTCTCTCCCTTCCCATTGTTTAATGAGAGAAAAAAGATGACCTTGGTATTTATTGGATTAATGGAAATATTTATTTTATGGATGTAGAAAGATTCATTTGTGTAGTATACTCAGAGTTTACCACTGACCCCTGACCCATTGTATACACTCATGTGCATCCTAGAAACACGTGTTTTATATATCACATTATCATATATCATATTATGCATTTCATACAGACACCCAGATTCCTGATTGGTATTATTGGATATTTTTCCATACTACAGAATGTTTAACCTATAGCATCAGATCATTATTGTTTTTGAAGTAGTTTGTGAAACTTAAGGTCCCCATTCTCCATTGAAGAGTTATGTGTGTTTTGTCATTGAGGTCTTAAATTTGAGGACCACTCTCCTATTTTGGAGATATTTAAAATTACTCTGAGCTCATGAAATTTTGATCCTAGTTTCTACATCCATGCATTTATAGCAAACAATAATTACTGTGGAAATATCTGCTTAAGTGAATGTGTCATTGATGTGTTTCCTGTGAGAGAGGACAGCAGAATTCTGACTGGTTGTGTTGTCCGTAACATCCATCTCAGGAATTAGCAAATGTTGATACTTATAGGTCCTGGATCATAGGTGCTATATGGAAAACTATCTCTGGAATTAAGTATGGCAAAAAAACTCTGATAAGTTTCCTTATTTCCATGCAGGGGATAAAAAATGTAATGGCTAGGGTACTTGGTTAGTTGGTTACTTTTTGCATTCTAATATCAGTTTCTCAGAATATTGTAATACTAGTTGCACTATAAAACATCACAAATATACAATAATATGGGCAGCTGGACTAACCTCTTTCTTTTTTTGTAAGGATTGAAACCAGCAGTGGAGGCTTTCTTCATTATGATTCTTACCCTTTTGATGGTGGCTTTTTCAGTTGATTCTGTCACACTGACCATAACTGTAGGTCAGAAGATGCTGCTGCCTATATTAACACTTCTCGTAAATAGCTACTTTCAGTTTATGATGGTGAGTAGGAAATGTGTATATCTGAGAGTGAAATTTTTCCATTGTTTCTTTCCTACACATCCAGCTATCATGTAAATCTTGCTTTGAAGATTCTGTACCTAGGATTCCGGTGCTTTGAGAAAATCATGTGTTGAAATAAGGGAATTTAACAGCTTTCCTCACTACTCATATATAACTTTTTTTTTTGGTCTCTGTTCTAATGTAGCTACTATGGCTTGGTTAATATGTCCTTACTGGTTAACTTTTTAAAGGAGAGTTCTTGTGACATATTATGAAACCTTTATAAACTCAGAAACTTGAAAAACAGAAGAATTATGATTGGAAGCTTCCTTCAAAAAATGCCAGATTATCTGAGTGCCTTTCATATTAGCATTACAGAAATTCCATTGTTAACTACAGCAGAAGAGATTTTGTTAGATTTACTCTTTTCCAGAGTGCAAATTAATTTCTAGGAGAAGTTAAACTTGTGAAGTGTGGAGAGTCAGTTTGAATGCTTCTTGTATTTTGAAAAAGATTCTTTTGGGGCTGGGGATTTAGCTCAGCTGCATAAGAGCCTGCCTTGCAAGCAGGCAGTCATGAGTTCAATCCCTGGACCAATAAAAAGGAAAAAAGACAAAAAAAAAAGAGAGAGAGAGAGAGAGAGAGAGAGAGAGAGAGAGAGAGAGAGAGAGAGAGAGAGAGAGAAAGAGAGAGAGAGAGAGAAAGTGACAAGAACATCCACAATGCCTCTCAACAATAATATTCAGTGTTAATAATTGTAACTGTTTAACTAGAAGACAAATTGCAAAGCTAGATCCAAACACAAGTTTCATCCCTATGTTGCTCGTAAGAAATATACCTAACCTGCAAAGATATTCACAGACTGAAAGTGAAAGCATGGAGAATGAAATTCCAAAGAGCCAGATCTCAAAAATAAGCAGGAATAAGCATGTCTGACAAGGTAGACATTAAACCGAAATAATCAGAACAGAGAAGGATACCACATACAAATAAAGGAAACAACACATTAAGAAGGTAGCCATCATAATTATGCACACATCCAAATCCAGCATTATTAGATATAAAATGACAGAAGTATCAGTAAAATCACAGTAGCAGGCTTCAGCAAGGCACTATCAAATAAATGATTTAGAAAGCTAGCAACAGCAAAATATCAGAAATGAAATGTACTATAGATCAAGACTACTATGTAGAATATTTCATACAACATCATTACAGTGCACTCCCTGCACAACATGCTTCAGGACCTTCTCAAGACAGACCACATTTTAGGCCATAAATTGTCAATAACTAGAATACATTTGAAATAATTTCACATATTCTATAAGATCACAATGAAATAAAACTAGAAATTAGCAGCAAAATAAGCCACAGAAACTACATAAAGATACCCAAATAGAATAATAACTCCTTAGATGGTCATTAGGTCACTGAAGAAATTCAGAGAAATTTAAAAGATTCTAGTACCAATTATTCTGGAAATACTACATAGAAGAATCTGTGAAAGTTCTAAGAGGGATGTCTATAGTTATGAGTGACTACATTAGAAAAAACAAAAAAACCCCAGCAAGGTCCAATAAATAATTATACATCTTAAATTCATAGAAGAGAAAGAATTAAATAGACTCCAATTAAACTATAACAATTATAGCAGAAATAAATGGATTTGAAATTTTAAAAAACCTGCGAAGCAAAGATTTGTACTTTGAAAGGACAAAGAATGTTATTCAGCAAAAGTTACCAGATGAAATAAAAGGTCTTAAATTAAGAAAATTAGAAATAAAACCTTGAAATTACAGCAAGACACCACGAAATCGAGAGGCTTATCAGAAACAGCTTTCAAAATTTATGCTTCAAGAGTTTGGAGAATCTAGTAGAAATAGTTAAATCCCTAAACATATATGAAGTATTTAAGTTGGACCAAGAATATGTAAAAAAACTAAGCATGCCTATAATAAATGATGAGCTTAAAGTAGTATTAAACAATTCCAATTAGGAAAAGCCTAGGACCAGATGGATTTGTAGTTGAATAGTTAGTGATGAACTAACATCAATGTTCCCCCTAATTTTTCCATACAATGAAAAGGAAACGTTTCTTCCCAAATTCATTCTATGACAGCAACATTACCCTAATACTTAAACCAGATAATGACTACACAAAAATGGGCATGCTATAGACAAATTTCCTTATACTCAAATAATTCAAAGAAAGAGGAACTATGGTGACTACTATTATGTTACGTTATCTGGTGGTGAAACACAATGATACTTAAATTGTTCGGTTCTGATCTGCGTTGTTCTGTTACATGTCCTCTTTTATCTCAATCTCCCCCCTTTTTAAAATTAACCTATTTTCTCTCTTTTTTTTAATTAAGGGAAAACTAAATTAAAAAATAGTGGGATATATTATAGTAACTTTTTTGTTTTCCTATTAACCTGACTTGACTCCCAGTGTTGCTCTCCCCATCTTGTTCTGTCTGATTTTACTATATTCTGTTTTGTTTGATAGTATCAAGTTTGAGGGTATAGGCAACCACTTTGAAGGCAATAAGATATACTATGATGCCAATTATGGTTTGACTATTATCTTTTTTTGAAGTCCTGAAAGGTCTCCAGTGTAGGTTTTAGTGGTCTCGTTCTGTACTGTTTTGATCAATTCTATTATACGTGATGATATAGGCAACTCAATTTAAAAATAGCAAGAGGCACAATGGTAACCACTTTTGATCACCTGGTATTCTATCTTTGCATCATGTACTATGCCCATCCTTCTGTTCTGACTCTGTTTTGCTTAGTTATGTTTAGTTTTATTCTCTTCAAAAAAAGTAATAATAACTGTGGGAGTAATAAAACCCCAAAAGTATACTTGTTATTGTAAAAAAGAGAAGAAAGGAAGGTGGACTAAGAGATATTACCACAGGTATGTTTGAGTGTGTAGGATGGAAAAGCATATTACTGAGCTTTAGCTGGATCATTGAACAGAGCTGTCTCCAATATCACTGTATGGAATGTCCACTTTATATGCTTTAATTTTATAATTTGGACAACTGTTTCTATGAAGACAATATGTAACCTATTAAGTAGTGATTTCTTTCCGTATATTTTTTTTCTTGATATTCTGTATTACTTGTACCCTTTTACTGCTTTGTTTTTTTATGTCCTTTCTTTTTTTCCTTTAAATAAAAAAAAATCCTTTAACATTAGCGCAAACCTCAAAAAAAATTTTCAGGTCCTCAAAGACAGAATTTAACAGCACATTAGATAAATCATGCATCAAGATCAAGTTAATTATATCCCAGGAATGCAAGAGTTGTTCAACGTGCATAAATCAGTAAATATAATGCATCACATAAATAGAATCATATAAATAGAATAAAAAATGATCATTTCAGTACATGCTGAAAAAGCATTTAACAGAATCCAACACTCATTCCTGTACACTATGAACTATATTGCAAATGAGCATGAAAGTACCTTACCTCAGAGTGACAAAAGCCACGTATGACAGACCCATGGCAAACACCATAGATAAAAAATACCTATAAGAAATTCCTCTGAAGTCTTGGAGAAGACAAGAGTATCTATTCCCATTACTCTCATTCAATATAGAGGTTGAAATTTTAGTCAGGGTAGTAAGTAAAGAGAAAGAAAAGGAATATAAATAGGAAATAAAGTCAAATTTTTCCCTTTTTCAGGTGATATGGTCCTTTATATACAGTAGGCAAAAAACTCCATCAGAAGTCTTTTAGATCTGACACACAAGTTGAGCAAAGTGGTTGGATAAAACATTAATCTACAAAATAAATTAATGTTCTTGTACATCAATCATTAACTCACTGAGAAGGAAGTTAGAAAAATAATTCTTCATAAAAGCTTGAAAAACTTAGTACATAGAAATCAACTTATTGAAAGAGGCAAAAGTTTTCTGTAGTGGAAATTCCAGTACCTTGAAGAAAGAAATTAATAAGAACTGTGGGAGTATTAAAACCCAAAATGTATAAATTTTTTTGTAAAAAAGAGAGGAAAAGAAAGTACTCTAAAGGACACAACTGAAAGTATGTTTATGTGGGTAAGATAGATAACCATATTACTGCGTTTTTATTGGATCATTGAACAGAACTGTTTGCAGTCTCACTGTTTGAATGTCTACTTTGTATGCTTTAATTTTGTAACTTGAACAACTATTTCTAAGATGACAATATGTAATCTATTAATTAGTGATTTCTTACTGTTTATTTTTTTGAAATTCTGTATTACTTGTACCCTTTTACTGTTTTGTTTTGTTTTTTCCTTTAAATAAAATTTAAAAATAAGAAAGACATTGAAGAGGACAATAGACAACATCTCTTGGTCTTAGATTGAAGGTGTGAAACTTGTTAAAATATTCCTAAAAGAGATCTATACATTCAATACAATTTCTATTAAAGTACTAATATGCTTCAACAAACTAGAAAAATCAAATTGTGAATTTCATTTCAAATAAAAAAGAATATAAATAGCCAAAGCATCCCAGAACAAAATCATTCATGCTGGAGGCATCATAATACCAGATTCAAATTATTCTGGAAGGAGGTAATAAAATAAAACAAGATAAAACAAAACTACAAGAAACCAAAACACAAATGTAGGTCAATAGAAAAACAAAAAACACTTGTAATCAAGGATTCAGAGGAAAATGAAAACACCTACTTAGTGGGAAGGTAAAATACTACAATCTCTGTGAAAATCACTATAGAGATTCCTCAAAAGTCTAAACAGCAATGATGAAACTTTTAGAGACGAATGGCCAAACTACAACCCCCAAACCTGTTTATTGCAAACTGCCACCCGTGCAATTAAACCTGAATACTGAGATTTTCATTGAGAAAAACAACTCAAAAAATCCTACATTACATTAATCATACATTAATATATCTGACCTTAAAAAAAGGCAGATAGCACATGTGTCAGAGGTTTGCTACTTCTGGATACTCAAACCATTTGAAATTCCATTTAACTCAGCTACATAGGTTGGGTGTATTTCACAAAGAATTAGTCTACATACTATCATAATACATGCACAATCATGTTTATATCGGTGCAATTCACAATTGCCAAGCTGTAACATACCCATTAGCAGAAGAATGGATAAAGAAAATGCAGGTTGCGCATATACTCAGCCATAAAGAAGTAGGAAATCAAGTCATTTGCAAGGAAATGAATGGAGCTGGAGACTGTCATGTTAGATAAAATTAGCCAGTGATAGTTAAATGTAATGTTTTTTCTTTTTTGACAAACATAAAAATCCATAAATTCGTAAGCACATAATTACAATAAAGGAGAGAATAGGGAATCATGAGAAATACTTCTGGAATGGGATAGGAACCAAGTTGGAGGGATAGAAAATAAGGGGAATTAAATCAATATGATACGTTAAATTCATGTAGCAACTTTTCAGTGTGAACCCCAGCATCATGCAATAGCATTATGCACTAATACAAGACAATTTAAAATACTAGAATATTCATAAGTTCAAATCACTCAGTCACCTCTTTTCTGGGTTTATGGCAGTCTTGTATGTCAATGTATATGCTTACCTGTTTTAAAAATAGTGACATAGTTCCAATATTTCATGTACCTAAGATCTGTACTCATACCAGTGAGTTATGACAATAATGGAACATTTTCTCTTACATATCAGTTAAACAGAAATATTTTGCCTGTTAAAACACGGATCCTTGCTATTGGAGTATGTGTGTCTGTATGTGTGTCTGTATTTATATTTTTGGTTCCGGGAATTGAATTCAGGATCTTGCGCTTGCCAGGCAAGTGCTGTGCCCCTGAGCTATTTCTCTAGCCAAGAGTGTGTGTCTTTAAATGATTACCATAAGCCAGTGGTGTTCAACCATACAACATGTATGCCACAGCTGTTATCACTGAAAGCTCTAAAAATTTTGCCATCACTACTATAAACTCTTGTGCAAATTTTTTTACTTATACATTTGAATTTGGCAACTACCAATATAGTTATCATTGAGAAACTACTATGATTTTTGATCCACTAAAGGAAATATAACTCAATAAATAAAAATGTTTTCACTAATTTATTTGATACTTGTACAGGTTGTTAGGTAGGGACGTCTATATACAGCTGTAAAACCAGTCATGAAACTATATTTACACAGTGATGCTTTGCCACACACTAAACATTTGGTTAAGTGAAGTCTAAATATAATCACGCTTTCCAGCAATTTGATAATTTTTGCATATCCCAGTAGACCTTGTTCCAGTTAGGACCAGTTTTATGTGAACCTCATAGTGCCATTTATTCATCCTGAGCAAGTCCTTCCTGGTATCACTTTTGCGACACTGCATTTGTATCAGTTTAAATGGACACAATGACCACATTATCTACTGTATTTCACCACATTATGGTGTTTATCAGTTCTTGGTTTTAGGTTATTATAAGCTTGATTCTGACCCCAAGTTATGAAAATAAAGTTCAAACCTTTATAAATAATACATTACTTTTGTAGGGAAGAAGAGTGTTACATGATGGCTAGGAGTCTTCTGGTCTGAATTGCCAGGATTTTCAGGGCAAAGGATGGCTGTGGTGTCTTTAGAACACTCAATACAGTTGGCCTATCATGTTCATTAGCTCAATATTGAAAGTTTTAAACAAACTTGGCTTTAAAATATATAAAACAAAAATTATGCCTGTACTGAATTTAAGTGCTTTATTTTTTCTTGTCAATATTCTTTAAATAATATTTCATGTGCAGTTTGCATGTGTCAGTTTGAAGGTTGTAAGGTTCTTGTAAAAGTAGTTTTCTAGAATTCTTCCTCAAATCTCTAGACATGTTGTGATTCAAGGTTTTTGCTCTTTTGCAGAGATTTTGGCTTATGACAGTTGTTTTCCAGAGCAATGAATTCCAGCTTTCATGGCTTCCGTACATCAGTATTCCATATTATGGCCTGATGGTAATTGTATTTGTCTGTCTTTGTGACTGGGTTCCTAGACTGGAAACAACCAAAATAAACCCTGGTCATCTCATTTTCCTAGCCACTGATCTAAGAAGCAGTGGATGAGAAATCCCTGTTCACAGTGGTTAGCAAAAGGTCTTGGTGTCACCTGGCATTTTCTCCAGTCTAGTCACTCTCCGCAGGAGGTAAAGGGTGGTGTAAATCTCACAGTAAAGGGAAACTTGACACATTGATGAAAACATATTTCTGTGTTTCAATTCATTGAGGAAATGAAGGAGATGACAGGAGACTGCATAGTTTGCATCTCAACTGGGAACAAGAACAAAGACCATATAATTTTCCTAGGCACATTTTGAGCATACTAATCAACCTCAAAGAAATTGTTTCTTTTTCAATTTTAAAGTAATATAAGCAAATACTAATAAAGAGACTGTAAAAGGGTGCTCTTCTTACTTCTAAGAAAAACGTAAAACAAAATAGAGAATGACAACAGTTAATATCCTGGGTATCATAATCTTAAAATAAGCCAAAATATTACTGAGTACAAGTCACTGAAAAAATGACTCCTAAAAAGAAGAAACAAGCAGAAAAAAGCATAGAACTGTCTCTTCACTAAGCTAAAGGAAACTACTAGTGTGTTTCTAACTTTCATAATTACAACTGGTTTTTAAAAAAGAAAACTTAAAATTATTGCCATAAATTAACACTATTAATCGAACACCATGGTTATCATAGCAAGGTTAGTGTTTGTTAAAGTATAATATGGCCTAGAGAAGGAGGAAAGAGCTACAATCTGGCGTAATCTATCCAGTCAGTGGTCTCCTTGGCCAACTGACAAACCTCAACTCTAAGCCACTTCGATGTCAGGAAAATAAGCTTAGTTGCCTTGCTGTGGCAAGGACTGTGAATATGAAACTTGGTATGTTTTCAGAAAGAAAAAAAAGATAAAATATAGGAAAATTGAACTAAATTTTTTAGAAAACTTTTAAAAGTTAAAAATATTTACTTTGTGCTAATTTACATTGTGTTTTAGGCTTTGCAGCACAATGAATTTTGGGGACAAAACTTCTGTACAGGACTCAATGAAACTGGAAGCAGTAGCTGTCCTAACTATGTAATGTAAGTCTACGTTCAGTGTCATGATGAGTCTGTTCCCTTCTGCAGTGCCATGGAGAAAGGCCCTTGGGCTTATAGCTGGTATAAGTCCTCTCAGTCAACAAATCATTCTGCACCTAAGTTATCCATTTGTGAGTCATTCTGTGTAAATGCTTATGAATATGCTATAAAACTCATGTGTCTTTTTGCAATGGAGAATATGGAGAAATGTTTATGTTATACTCTTGAGAGTATTTTGATGGGTAGTTTAAGTTATTTTGTCTTTTGAGGACATCTGTAATGGGTTGTTTTGATATGAATCAAGGGAATACAGTTTCTGGTATCTTTGAGCCAGCCCACAGACAATACTAGGAGCTATAAAGACACCAACAGAAGATCCTGGCAATTTTGTTTCCCTGAGACATTGAAATGAAAATCTGCACAGTTGAGTATGTCTCTATGTGCAAATATTTATAAAATGCATCTTCTAAGGAAAGACCATCATGTATCTCAACAGATTGAAAAGGAAATCTCATTTCTCCATAATGACATTAAAATATAAATACAGTTTTCATAAAGTTAGAAGATCTTGTTTTGAAATTTTATTGACACTTTCCTTGTCCATGTTTGTTGTTAACATTTGATTATCATACATAAATTTATGTGAGAAGAGAGAATATTTTGTTTTGTTTCCCGGTGTCTTCCAATGTCAAGGCGAGGGGAATCGCACCAATTGTGACTTTATGTTGTTGCTGCTCCTCTCGCTCGTTACCAGGCATAGGCTGGGCTCACAAGGAAGCAGAGACTGTGTGTTATAGCTTAACTATCAGAACAACCCATTTCAAACTCAAATGTACTGAAGAGAAGTGTTTTTATAATTCATATAATATATAAATAATTCTTTGAATCGAAACAAATTTATATTGAATTATTGACTATAAAAGCTTGCATGAGGAGCTGTTCTCTTTAAACAAAGAACTGCCTTTGCTTTGATGCAGATGTGGCAAATTTATAGAAAAATTCACTGCCAGCCTGCTGGCCAGGAGGAAGTGGATAGGAAAAGTGGGACCAGTGAAGGAGGATCTACCATAGGCGTCAAAGAAAAGAGGCTGCAGATGATTTTAGTCCTGTCAAGTTCCAAAAGATGCGGAAGAATGGGGACAGGAAATAATTCTGGCTCCCATGTGCATTTTGAGTACAAAAGCTTTTGAAATCCATAGCAGGACAAGTTCATCCTGCTCTGCTCCAGCCACCTAAGATTTGAATCGGTATCTAGGCCTGCTGGTAATGCCCTGTAGCTGAGAACCTTTGCTGCTCTGCAGTCTTAGTACAAGATCCAATAGAATGTGATCTGAGCAAAGCCTTCATTCCTTCCCTGTTGTGCCACTTTTAGCATTCATAACTTGTTTCTGAATGGATTTTTTTGATGGATTATCAGAATGACAGGGATCTGTGAGTTTGTTAGCAAGGGCTGTGGGTGTCATAGAATAAACCCTTACTGTTTCTCACTAAAAGACAATAAAAAAAAACACTTCATAAATATTTCCTTTGAAGAGAACAGTTTTATAGATTTGGAAACAAATTAATCAGAGGAGGCTAGAAAAACAGCTTCACTCTATAACTGTGGCCAACTTTCTGAAACCTAATCCCATTCATTCTTTAAATGTGCATTATATCTCCTCTCTGGACTGTTTAGGGATTAGATGTCTAGATAGTATCTAGCAAATGTTAATTACTCCTCACTGACTATTAACTAATATAAATTGAAGTGATAACCATTAATGTTTGGACAAACCTATAGGATTCTTTATCAGAGGAATACTGATGATTCAGAGTAAGATTTAACATATGCAAGAATGAAGTTATATCCCTTGTGTCTTGCATTTCAGATGTTCTGGTGAAGAATTCCTGACAATGGCGGGTATTGATCTCTCTGCTTGGGGCTTGTGGAAGAATCACGTGGTTTTGGCTCTTGTAACAATTATTTTCTTCATAATGGCCTTCTTAAAATTATTATTCTTTAAGAAACATTTTTAAATTCTCCTTTATATTACTGTGAATTACTTTCACATTACAAAACATCATTATTTACTTCCAGTGTCCAAAAATTTTCTTTTATTTTCTGTCACTTGTCATCACATTGTTGTTAGCAACAATTTTTTTTTTAATGGAACTATTTATCAAAAGCAGAGTAAACCGAGTTATGTGAAGTTTGGGAAGACCCACAATGAAAAACTAAATGTATTATAGACTTCATTAAATCATGTTGTTAGTCAACAATCATGGAGAAGTAATCTAATGTGTTAAACTGAAGAATTAAAATGGAATTCCAGAAAACTTTGAAAAAACACTAATATCTTTGATATTATTTTCCACACTTTTCAAATGAATTGGTGGTCTACTAATTTTCCAGTTTGAATGGTCATGAGTCTGTGTTCTGCTGTACTCTGTCTCTCTCTCTTTTTCCAATTATTGTTTTTGTTTGCAGGAGGATTTGAAAAAATTTTAAGAGCGTTCATTTCTTTTCTCTTCTTGAGCATGAATTATTCAAGTAAAATCAACTAATTATAGAAATGTAGCAAAGTAAGGGGAAAGCACAACAATCAAAGAAGCAAAGGTTGGGCGAAGAGAAGAGGGTACAGTCCACATAGAACATGTGCACAGACTACTCAGGACAGCTTCCTCAGGAGGCGAGCACAAGGTGTTCCCCTAAACATTGAGAATGTTTCAATTTAAAGCATAAGATTAAAAAGATAAAGAAAACATAACCAAAAAATAAAAATAACCCCAAGAACCACCCAAGCCATACCACCTTCCTTAATCTATCAGTGAGCATTGCTTTCATTTTATAAAAAGATTATTAAAAATATTGAAAACTTATTTTCTCATTTTATATTTGTTAAGATAATAGAATTCAGAAGAATTTAGAAAACCAAGCAGCGAGTGCTCTCCAGTTTCCACCCCTTTTGCTGAGGATCAACAAGACAAGACTTTGGGATTCTGGAGCTGCTGCCAGAGAATGGCAAGCCCAACCTAGGAGAAGTCAGAAAATGCAGGAGCAGAGTGCATGGGAAGTGGTTAGGAGAAACTGTGCGACACAGAGATGCACAGAAGAGGGGACCACTTCTGCTTGCTGTAAAAAAGTGGATTGCACAAAGATCCAAGCAGTTTGGTCCCAAGCTGAGGTGAACACTTCAATATTTATTGAGATCCTTTGCTTTCTCTTTTAAGAATCAAAGTTGCCCAAATTAAATCTTTCTGCCTAAAAAATAACGGGATGGAAGGGAGCCTTTTAAAATCACGGCAAAACAGGCTGAAAATCAAATTAGTCCTCTTAGCTCCAAATGACATGAAAATTAAAAGCAAAACTATCGGTTTCTAATAGTGAGCAAATCAAAATCAAGCATCACGCTCTCTCTCTTACCTTAAGCCCCACCCCATACACCAATAATAAATGAGGAACACAGCTGGAGCCCAACATGTCCTGCTCTGTTGAGAGCTGGCCTGACCCCAGGTTCTATGGTGGCCTCCTCTGTCCAGTGGGACACAGCACCAGGGACACTTTCCACTGTAGTAGGATTCTGCGTGGCTGGCGGGGTGGGATGTTCTTGAGGACACCCTGTTCAGCTCCTCACCAGCCACCTTCCCAGTGCCTCTTTCCCCTGGGCAAGTGTGGCCCCTACTGAACTGTAGGAAAACAGAGGTTATATATAGGTTGTCTCTTCCAATCTGATCATCTTCAATCAATTTCTGTGTTTCGAGTGTTGTTCCAAGCCTTCCCCGGGGCGTGTTGGAAATCATCTCCTATGCTCTTGGCTCCTCGAACTGAATGGAAGTTGCTGAGCATGGTCCAGTCAGGCCCACAGAAACTCATATGCCACCTCCAGTGTTCCAGGAAGTTGGGCAGGCACCTAACCACTGAGGATGATGGTCCAAAGCACTCCACAGGCCAGGATTAATGCACTGGAACTCACTTCAGGTGCCCTCAACTCCCCTGATTGAAAAAGGTCACTGGGTGTGGTCTAGTCTTGCCACAAAACCTCCCAAGCCTAGTCTAGAAGCTGGGCAGGTCCTTGAATACTGGGAAGAATGATCTTAAACTCTCCCCAGGCCCTGCCACCGGTGTGCAGGAACTCACTGCTGGTAGCCCAGTACCCTGGATTGAAAGATCACTGGGCATGGCCCAGCCAGTCTGAAATCTTTAGAGCCCTGTCTAATAGGGCTGGAGTCTGGGCAGTTCCTTAACTACTGGGAGCGATGGTCTTAAACTCTCCCTTGGCCCTTGCTGCTGGTTGCAGGAACTCACCTCTGGAAGCCCAGTTCCCTGAACTGAAAGATGGTCACTGGTCATCGCACAGCCAGTCCTGAAACCTGTAGAGCCCAGTCTAGTTTGGCTGGAAGTGGGTGGGTCCTTGGTCAGTAGGAGCAATGATCTTAAACTCTCCCAAGGTCCCCACTGCTGGTGTGCAGGAACTTAGCTCTGGCAGCCTAGTTCCTCCCAAAGTGATACTTTTTAACATGGTGAATGATGGTCACTACATGCTGAGCAAGTAATTCTGAAGGGCTACACTGAGACTGAGCTGACTGTACTTGCTGGAAAATGGAATGAAACTCCTGTTCCTTTTTCTTGCTACAAACTAGTAACAAAGCTACAAAATAGCAACAAAGCTGTGTTCCTTGGCCAATAAGCCACTGGTTCATAGGAGGTCCTTGTTGAGTCCTTCCAAATGTTGACCTGGGCCTGTCTAGTAATGGAAAACAGACTTTCCTGAGGAAAATTCTCCTTTGACTCCCAGCTTTTCACCGGTTTCAGAGATCTTCATGTGGAGAGATGATAAGCTTTCCTATTGTAAGGCTTTGTAAGAAGTCATTTGAAAATTTATCTCTGGAATAAAGCCCTAATGCCCAGTTTCACTTCTCCAGGGTCCTCCTCACTCTTCCTTTTTGGATATCTCTGTGAAAGACTCTGCCTCCAGCTCTTCTGCTTTGCTCTGCTTTTTGTTCCCTGCATACACCAGGCCTTCTCACTTGCCTGACTTCTCTTCCTCCTGGCTTTTACTTGTACCAGCTATGACTTTGACATAAATTTGGGTTCATTATCAAATCAGATTTTTTCCTACCTTAGTTTTGTTTCTTTCTTGATCATCCATCTCCACCTTGTAGAAATCTGCCATCTTCTCAGAGAAATCATGGGGCTTATACATTTTGGGTGACTGACTGCTCCTAAAGGGCTTCTCAGTATCAGTCTTTGATGCAAATGCATCTGGTTTCACTTTTGCATGAGCCTCAGAGAAGCTTCCTTTCTCCTTCTTTCTTTTTATCATAATTTATCTGTTTCTGTGCAGCAAAGGAAACAATCAACTGAATGAAAAGACAACTTACGTGGTGGGAAATACTTTTGCCATCTATTCCACATACAGAGGACTAATGTCTAGACTACATAAAAACATGAACCAATTAGATCCAATCCAAAGTTGATTAGAGAAATGAATACACTTCATTGGATAAGAAGAACAAGGAGGACAACAATGAAGAGGAGCAGCAGGAGTTGAAGGATATAAAGTTGAAATATTCAACAGTACTGGCCAGTACACAAATTAAATTAAACAGCAGAAGTGCTGAATAATAATCTTAGTCTGTGACCGGCAAAAGCCAGGAGTAGCTAGTTTCACTGGTTGTGCTGTGTTTACTAGGGATTGCAACTGGCATCTTTCTCACAGGGTCCTGAATGGTCTTAAAGTAAACTCAGGTAGATCTGAGAGATGAGAGGAATGGTCTACTTGGGGCGCTTGGTACTCTGTCATGTGCTGTCTGTGTGCCTCCACTTTTAGCTGCAGACATGGGGGGCAGTTACCCATGAGCTGAGATCCTCCTGAAGGCACCCACAATATGCCTGTGCCATGTCTGTCCTCATGTTGTCCTTCTAGGCTTCTTCACAGTGAAAGAAGCTCAGCTTGGCTGCAGGAGGAGACTGGAAGTGCTGGGATTAACACTTCTGAAAGAACACTTTTGAAAGGAACAATGGAGAAAAGCCCTGGATTTACATTTTTATGACAGTCATGGGATGCATTTACTTTTGCTGTCAGAAGAGACTGAGGCTCTGTTTCCTGCAGAGGCAAATTCAGCAATACTTGTGGTGTGTTAGCATTTCCTTCCTTGCACTATTTCCTGCCTTCATTTCCTACTACCGTCTTCCAGATAAATTATCTGAACTGAGTCCTTCTCTAATGGCCATTTTTTAGAGAAACACAAACAAATACGGTCCCATTAAAACAGATACAACACTGTCTAATCTACTAAACCACTCCGCAGCAATGTGCTTATTTACAGAGACTTCTTACAAGAAACCTAATGAATCAACACAGATTTGGAGCTAGTACAGAAATTCAACAAATGTGCAGAGTAAGATTATTTTATGAAAACTTAATAATATTTGTGTATAATCATGAGATATATCTAAAATTTTCTGAAAGATATGATTATGTTTATCAAAGCAACCAATCATAAAATACCAATGAAATCATAGTTGCAATAAAATTTTTCATATTAATGAATGCATAAGATTTTATATTTCAAGGACAAAGAAGTTAAAAATAGCAACAAAACAGATTTTCAAAACAGGCGAGTATGAGAGTAACAATAATTAGTACATTGCATATGGTTATATTCAGAATATCTCTTCAGAGTATAAGATGTAGGCATGAAATATTGACCAAAAATTGTTAGCATAAAGCTTTCTTTTCAATGAACTAAGAGAAACTAACTCTATAACTATCTTTGCATGTGTATATTTTTGCTTTCCTTTCCTTCCTTTCCTCTTTCTCTCATCACAAGTTTTACTTTTCTTTTGAACAGTTTGTTTCCTATTCACAATATCTATTGTTAACTTTGAATCTTGTTTACTCCTTCAGTTTCTCACACTAATAAGACCATATGTAGTTTGATTTTTTTCCCTTATTAGTGTGATCTCTAGTTGCATCCATTTTCCTATAAAAGTTTCAAGTTTATTTTTCTTTATGTCTGAGTAGTATTCCATTATGTAAAAAGTCTTTTTTTTTATCCATTCCTTAGTTAATGGTGATTTATTTCCAATATTTAGTTGTTACAAATTGTGCTGCTATAATTGTGGGTGCTTGTACATCACTGTGGTACGAAGTTATTAACTTTTCTTGGAAGATACCCAGAAACAGAAGAGCTGGGTCAAATGGGATCTCTAATTCTAGTTTTCTGAAGAATACACACACTGATTTCCACAGTTGTTTTACCAGTCTACATTCCCACCAACAGTGGAGAACAGTTCCTTTTCCCACACAGCTCCGTCAGCATTTGTTATTGGTTCATTTCTTGATG